CTTGCTTGCTAAAATAGATGCTTTACGTGAATATCAACTTTAAAGAAGATATACCTAATGTTAACAAAATACTTCAAATTTTTTCAAAAGAGCGTTCTTTGGATTAACCATGAGGTCAGTGTTCACAAGTTTACCTGTGATTCCTAATAATCTAAAAAACAAGTTTACTTATCCAACTACTTTGATACGTATTCATCAATTCATCTGTTCCAACAGAGTTGAGTACATTAGTTGTTGAATGATAATTCTATCCAGCACGTTGATGAACACTATCCTATATGATTAAAAGGAGATAGCAGTGGTTTATGTAAGCAATGATGGATAGTGGCTAGCAGTGGAATCCAGGACGCGCGTTCCGTCCTATTTGGGGCTCCTCAGCTGGATGTAACTGCATCTGAGTTGATGTTCACTCTCGGACTCGAACCTAGTGCCATTCGCTTCAAACTCCACTGCGTTATCCACTCAGCTACTGAGTCCCGATAGCCACTTGCTTGTGCAGTGGGGTGAATTTAAATTCACTTGGAATTATTTGGCTTGTATCTTCCTATTGAGGTCTAAGGCTGTAATTGATCAGTCTGTTATTGGCAATATGTGCAGACTGTGCGTATGCCTTGATATTGCCTTAATTCACAAGCTTTTTGTAAGCAATGATGATAGCAATGAAGATAGCAGTGGGTTTACAAGAAGTTTCATAATAGAATACTTAGTGAGCATAGGTCATTCAAATAAAGCATACCCGCTATTCACAGTCGTCTAAAGGGTAAATAAACGTCACCCGAAGATAGCGTACTTTCGTGCTTCTTCCGTTGTTAACGCCTTTGTCACATATGAAGAGAACCGTATATAAACCTTATATAAAGCAGAGAAATATATTTAGTCTCTTCTGTCATGTTTTTAAAATCTATTTTCCTCTCTCTTCTCCTAGTGTATTGACTTCTTCACCAAAAAAGGTCAATCGCACCATCATGAACTTTCTGAAAATATTTTCATATTAAGAATTCATTTTACCATTTCATTCAACCGATTTTCACAATTATTAGTCTTTATCTAATTTCTATAAAAATGTTAATTAATTTTCAAGCTTTTAACAACTAGATTTTTAATCTCTTAATAAGATTAAGATTTATAAGCAAAGATGGATAGTAGCTAGCAGTGGAATCCAGAACGCGCGTTTCGTTGTATTTGGGACTCATCAGCTGGATGTACCTGCATCTCAGAGTTGATATTCACTCTGGGAATCGAACCCGGTACCGTTCGCTTCAGGATTCAGTAGCTTGGTGGATAACGCGATGGCGTTTGAAGCGAACGGTACTCGGTTCTTCTTCTTCCATGATGTTATCAAATTACCTGTGGTAAATTTTTATGAAGTACAGAATGCAAAGAAAATATCCTGTAGAAAAGTTAAAAAAGTTTATAATGATATGAAACATTTGGATAATTTAATATATTAATAAGTAATACTTATCAATAGGGAACATTTATTAGAGTTGCTATGTTAAAGTCACATATTTGACCTGTTTCACTCACAATTTCTCCTAGAGAGAAATTGATGATAACAATAACCAAATAAATGATACATATTTTTTCGTAGATCTATTCACACGCTGGTCTTAGTTAGATTACCAGGAAGAACTAGATAGCTGTTTCGCCCTCGCACAGGAAGTTGCAGAAGCAGCATCCTAGATCGGACCATGAATGAAACCCATGGCCTTAGATACCTTCGTGAGTGTTTAACCTTTAGAGCATCAAGCCAGAATTTAACGATGTTCATGCCTAGCTCTAACCATTTCACCAAATTACTCCACCATCTATTGTCTGCAGCTTCTCACTGGATTTCTTGGAATTGCCTCTCGAAATGGGTTGCTAGTGAGCGCATGATTATTGTTGGTGTTGGGTTATGTTGTACATTATTGCGTTTTCATAGATTGTTTCAATGAATGACAGAAGTTAAACACGTACACCAGTGGATGCTGGTAAAATTGTTTAGAGTCTACGAAATTACCGAGCGACCGAAGTTTTTGGGTTCAATCTTCCGTGGGAAGTTCATTAGTGAACAATGTTGACAAGTTCCATACTAAGACTAAAAATCCATCCGAAGCTTCCTGATGGCCTAACTAAAGTCAAACCGTGATACCATATAAGAATATTCAAAACTTTCCGCAAACGCTCCGTACTAATGATACACATATACAACTTTCATAATGAGATTAATATTGTACTTTGTTATGCCTCTAATTATTTAGTTAAAGAAAAAAATGCAAAAATCTTTCTTCTTACCTATAGTAATAGTGATTAAATGTCAGTTTCCAATAATTATCGAAACAGTTTGATTTGTTGCGATTGTTGAACACAATACATTTGTTTTATTTTAATTTAGTACATGTGGCTACGGAATTCATTAAAATAAGTTATTTATACTAATTTATATTGTTCGTCATTGGAAAGGAATTCATTTGTCATTTCTAGTCTATAATTCATATATTTCTCTGTTATTTTGTGCAATACAAATCTTTTAATAGATGTCATCTCAAAGTCAAAAGTTTTGAAAAAGACCCACAAATAATCTATCATGTACGATACTGGATACTAACGTATTATTAATTATTCTTATATATATTGCGCATTCGTCATCAAAAACACTAAAAATCCCCATAAAAAACCTTGTGATTATATCCTTCATTTGTTGTTACTATACAAGCTTATTAAAAGCAGAGAACTTTGGAAATTGTAGTCACTTATCGTCTTGATAATTTGCTTACATTTGCATTATTAAACTTGTTATCAAAGTCAATCTTACTTTTGACGCATCGTTGCATATTTCTTTCATGATCGATATAATTGTTTCATGTATTTGAAACACGAGGCAAAATTATGTTTCTAAAATTCTATTTATACACTTTAAAAGCGGACATAACGATCAGACCTCAAGTTCATATCATAAAACCTAACCGAGTTTTTCTATAATAACATTTTGATTATGATAAACATTTTTCACTAATGGGTTTTGTCAAAGCATTACATAGAAGTAAGAGGTTTTTGAAGATTTATTTAGTTTGACAAGAGTTTTCATCACAAGTACACTTGAGTCTTTCTTGGTCTCAATATAGGGTGAATGAGGGTTGGACATAGGATTAGCAACCACATCCCACAAAATAGAATCTTAATAAATAAAAAAGCCAACCGTTAAAAATCATTTGAACTATTAAAATTATTTCATGGGAGTTAAGAGGTCATCATATAGAGGAATTATGATCCCACGTGGTGAATACTGAGATTCTTCAGAAGTTACAAGATGAAGTTCTTTTCTGACAACTAGAGAAACGGTTAATATAAGTATGTAGAATGTCCGGACTATTTGGGAGACCTGGAGGACCACTTTTAACAAAGTAACATCATCTAGGGAATCAACGAGAACGATGGGATAATTAACAGTTCCTACACAAAAGCACATACTTATGAGCCCGTGAAATACTGAACATTAAAATTCTAAGTTCTCGTGTTGGGAGAGTTACTGTTAGTTTACTAAATCCGGATCTTATCGTTTACACTTCTGTCTTAATGGGATGAATGTTTGTCCAAGGAAAGTGCTTGTTCAGTTAGAACTACTGATTTTTATACTTATTGAAAATTTAACTATAAGAAATCTTAATAGTTTTAATGAACCATATACATTGACAGGAGAAAATAAGTCTGAAAATTGTAATAATAAGAATGTTAGGAATGTTAAAAACAAATTGGGTGTTATGGTTTATAAAATAAAACTCGATAATCTTCCTCAACATTCCACTATTTCTCTTCAAGTTAACTTTGTTATAGGGATGAAAATGTCTAAATGATTCTTATGTTCTTGGTTGTTACACACTATTAGATAACTTTTAGGACTATTGTTTATTTATTTAGCTAACACCATAGTAATCTTTTGCTTTTAATTTTATTAGTTAATAAATCATAATTTAAGCTAAACAATTTATAAACTCTACAAAGACAAACTTTATAATAGATAAGCTATTTAATAGTTGAATTCGTTAGTCAATTAAAACTAGACCATCATGAAAAACCTCGATTTTCTGGATTCATGAATTCAACTATTAAATTACTATAATATCCACAAAATCATCTTCATATAAATTATTGTTGCAATTTAGTCATACTGTTTGTTAATTACATGCCTTTAGAGAAAATGGTGTTAACGTTTCACGTGAAACTGACTGATTTGGGTCATAAAACTGTATTTTTAAAGTATGCAAACTTAATAAGGTGTGTGGTTGTAAAATCACCTGACTTTAATCAATTTCTCTAGAAAGGATAGTGGTTTTTACACTAATATTAAGTCCTGGAGATATGCAGGCCGTATTATTGTAAGTCGGATATTTATAGCCCCGAAACATTTGAATTCATCAATAACTCAAAAACTGGACTCAGTCTAACTTCAAATTATCTCATCTAATAGATAACTGATGTTTGTGTACGATCATGCAATAAGAAACGTTATACACTTACTTAAGAAACTTAATAGGATATGATCAGTTACATTGTATTTTATGGGAATCGATTAATCCATAAATACTTGAGTATACTTTAACACTTTCATGCGTTTCAATATAATGAAGACTGATATTAGATTAGACTATAAATTTTAGTAGTGACTAGCAGTAGGATCTACAATGTTTTTTTGTCCTTACTATGACTGACCGGGTGTATATAATTAGATTCGACTATTAAAGCTACTACTAAAGCTTGAATCTCAGTGCTCTATTACGTAAACTTATGAGTCACGGTATCCACTTGTTCTACGGGGATGAATATGATTTTTTCTTAAAGGCCCTAAGCATTCTCGTGGTTGATATTTGAGTTTGAAGAGATCGTTCTTTGTTTTCATCCTAACTCTTAGGACAGATGCCTTAGTATTGTCCATGTGTTGTCAGAAATCAGTCATTACTTATAACAATACCAACCAAATTATATACAAATCCGTATGAAAATGTAATATGAAATCGAATTTCGGGACTATATAATGGTGATTTTTTTATTGCTATGTATATGTTTCCATTTAGTCTACTTACATAAAATGATAAGTAATCTGTTTAAATATATATAAGGTTTTGTGCCCGGGTATATCTTGTACAATTAAAAAGTAAAATAAACTCTAAGTATTCATTTATCATCCGGTTTTTATTATGTGATAAATTCAACAAAAATCATTTCATGGTGCACGATATCCTATTGTAGCACATGCTAATCTGGGACCAGAATTACCGGTTGTTCTACTGCCTTCATCTGCATTTCTTCCAAGATCATCCATATTTGCATGTATAATAAGTGATCGACCAATAAATCCATCATATGGTTCTAGACCTTTCAAACTAACATAGAGATCAAATATCATTACACTGTTGTGTCCAACTCTAATGTTTCCCAAGTCTCCAGCGTGTCTAGGGTATCCATGACGTCCACCATGACGTCTAGAATCAAAATAAAACGAAAGGTAACTTTTATTTTTTTTCTTTGAAAGTACACACACATCAATAAAATGATTATTTTTATATTTTTCTCTAAGAAAATTTGTAACTAGATTAAAACGCTTATTACTACTCATGCATTTATTTTATATATAACTGCTAGATTTCAAATGAACAATTTTCAATAACGAATGATATAATGTTTTCACCTCCCAAAATATGCAAAGAATCACTTTAAAAATACTCAGACTTTTCTCTTCTGTAATCTCGTAAACTATATATTTTTTATTTATTGTGATAGAAGACGTTTATTACCATTCAACTAGTAGGATTTATCTAATCATTTCTACATTACTGCTGACTAGACTGAATAATCAACTTCTGAAGACAAAATCAACATTATCTTCAGGGTAAGAAGATTAACTCATCACTGATTAGTACATATTCAGTCTTGGACGTTTCGAGGATGGAATTCCAAATACCCTCTTATGCTTGATACTTTTTATCAACAAAATACATTTTCAAATTAATGTACATTCATACTTTTCAAAAACATGAATTTGACTCTATAACTGAATATGTCATGTCCAAGTTGATTGTGTGGCCACTGATGTGTTTTAAGGACAGATTAAGAACAGTAATTGATTACTGAGTAGTAACTAGTTTAATATTATCTGCTTCCTAGGATTGGGTTTTGTTGTGGATGCAGAGGAATAGACCAATAATTATCATGTTAAGTCCAATGGTGTCCTTGGACTTTAAATGGACATTTCCTATTGGTCGATATCTGTTCACTTGTTGAATATTGTACAAAATGTTGTTTCTATTTTATGGTACGATGTGGTGTGCTTGATTGGTATATAAACAAAGTATGTTTGAAATATAATGATTCATATCTCAGAGGCTGTGACTTGTGTTCTGGACTCAACTAACTGGGCTAGACAGGGAAGTGGGACCAATCGAGACTCTAGGCCGTCCGTACGTGTTTACGTGTCACTGTCACCGAATCGATTAATAAACGCTGCTTATCAAAACCCGCAGTCACACCCGACATAACAAGTTTATTCTGTTTTCAAAATATATCCTAGTAGCAAATACAAACTGATATGTTGTCAGATAATTTTTCTTGGTATTTTTATCTAAAATATGAATGTTATTACTTGGTTAAACTGCAAACGTGTATTTAGTGACGTTGATTTCACTTCACAGACCATTTTTCATTTTTGTTTTTATACAAATACAAAAGTTGAAAAACGATAAGGATAGATACTACATGTTTGTTGAAATAGAAATTTTACACAATTGTATGAAAAAACTATTTAAATCGGCAGTAACGGTAAAACAATTCCTAGGTAATGAAGCTGATGAAGACCGTATATCCGAATTCATATAATAATAGGTTAAATTGCTAATATTTTCGTCTTTTTTAGACCATTAGAGACTTCCAAGTAAGTTATGCTTTCACTATGCTTTTCATTGCTAGTAGTTTATCAGAGTCGAATAGTTAGATCTGAATAGATTTTAACCATCTACCATTCGTTGTATCTAAAAACAAGAACTTCTGTCCTAGTTGATGTTAAACTCTGTTAACATTGAATTTTAGACCATGAAATTGGTTCTTGAATTTATAAATCTTAATATTTATGTGAATAAAAACAGTGAATCATTACTATATAAATAATATATTTGTAATATCCCAATAGGTAGAAAAATTAGATTTTCTGACGTTTCGTAACTTAGTGTAAGCCACTTTTTCATTATTTATTCTCTGAAGAAGTGGCTTACACTAAGTCACGAAACGCCATAAAATCTATTTTTTCTACCCATTGGGATATCACAAGTATATTATTTATTTATGACAATTTACTCAATGCTCAATTAATTCAAAATTATCAAGTCAAACCTTGGTAATGATACCAAGTGAATTATTAATGGGGAATTTTCCCGAAAAAGTACATTCAACATGGCAGATTTATGAAAACCTCTAAATCTAAGGGCAAGCACGGAATACAATTGACAGTCTGGATGCAACTAGACGATTTCGACTCCACAGATGACCTAGCTCTTATATTCCATACACATCAATAAATGGAAGTCAAGATGACCACTGTAGCAGAAGCCTCTATAGCAAAAGGTCTCAGCATACACAACCGAAAAGCAAGATCCTCAAATAGAACACGATGAACACCAACGTAATCACGCCTGATGTATAATCTCTGGAAAAAGGAAGAAACGTTCAAGTATCTTGTCAGCATCATCGATAAACAAAGAGGATCTGGTGCCGACGTAAAAGGGAGGATTGGCAAATCAAGGGCCCCATTCCTACGGCTGAAGAATATATGGAACTCAAAACAACTATCAACAATCACCAAAGTTAGAATCTTCAATACGAACGTCAAGATAGTTCTACTGTACGGAAACGAAACTTGGAGAACTACTACAACCATCGTCGAAAACGTACAAGTATTTGTAAGCAATTGTTTTTGCAAGATATTCAATATCCGTAGGCCGGATACCATCAGCAACAACCTACTGTCGGCGAGAACATATTCAGCTTCCGTCTGAAGAGGAAATTATTAAAAGATGTTGGAAGTGGATAGAATACACATTGAAGAAATCATGAAGCAAGCGCTAATTGGAATGCTGATTGGAAACGGTAAAAAACGACCATGGAGCACAGTAAATCGAGAATCGAAAGCAGACTTGAATAGGATGATTAGCGACTGGAATAAACTGGAAAGGATTGCCTAGGACAGATTTGGACAGCGAATGCTGGTGGGCGGCCTATGCTTTTCCACAAGGGGTCACAGGAGTAAGTAAGTAAGTAAGTAAAGCTAATTAACCTAAAACATATTCAGTAATTAGAGTAGACATTGTTTGATTTTGTAACTAGAATTTTATTTGTATTCAACTCTTCACTCAAAGGTAATAATATTCTAATATGTATTTCACATGTTTAATATGAAATATACAAAATGAAACCTTATAGCTTATTACATATTGAATAAAACCAGAACTATTGTCGCTTTCGTATGTTCAAAGTAAATTTTAGACATCATTCATGATGTTATTTCGGAGCAAAATTTAAATTGCTGCCGAGGGTAAGCGGATCTTAAACTTACTGGTGGAATGGATTGAAATGAGGACCAGCTTCAAGACACATGTTTCCAAGTCCTCCATAACGATGAATATGTACACCCAACACTGCATCGGGTGGGAGTACTGCCACACTCCCATTGAGGTACATAAAATCTCCATGTTGTGTAAACCACACCGAACCTAAAACTGGTTCTTTTGTAAATGTAGCAATAGCTGGATCAAAACGTCTGCGTCGATGATCTAATGAACGTATTAATAAAACATAAAAAGTCATTCATTCAATCTTTATTTGACAGTCAGTTACCAAATGAGTATTAGATAAACATTAGACAACACAATGCAACTTACAGTATTTATTTTATGTGGTTGTAACAGAAGTAAACATATTTTTTGATAAATTTATTTATTATAATAAATATGTTTACCATTATAGAATTTTCATTTACATATTTACTAGCTGTTAAAATGAAAAAGTAAATGACTGATATTCAAGGTTTTTATTTCACTAAATGTTCTTAAGGTTTTAAACAGTTTTGTATGTTCCAGTATGAACCATACTGTGTAACAGAAACCCGTACTTACTATTCATCTTATATCCTTGTATGTGTTATATTCTCTTGAAATTTTAAATAAAATACTGTGGTACTTATACAATCATTCGCCTAAATTTATCATTGTAGCATATTTAGAAGTTTATCAGTAAATATTGTCAGTAGGTTCAGGATTGGGATCTGTTGTCGATCATCTGTATGTGATTACTTGTTATTATTAGTCAACCACCATAATTGCGGTCATCTCAGCAGTTGACTCATGATCATAGCAAACTAAAATAGTGCTTTTTGGCAATGAGTATTTATTGGTTTTGATTTCTACTTTATTTCCTATTTAGCATACTTTTGTAATAATGTTTACTTAACCAACTTGCACACATTTTCAACTATAAGTAAGGTTTACATTCTTTATAAATTCCTATCTCAAATTTGATCTAATAAATTCAGACTAAGTATGATATTGTAGGCGATAATCCTGAAGAAATGTTCCACGTGAAACCATAAAACATAAAACATTTATCTGTCTACTAATGTATTCTTTAGATTTTTATAGTATCCATTAAAAACTCACTCTTTTCTAACAGAACGATAGGAAAAAGTAACAAATTAAACTGTTTTTATGTACTATACTATGCATCGGACAGAGATTTAGTTACTTACATCTCCACAATATTTTTTTGAGGTTCATAATCAAATGAAGCTTATTGAAGACTTCTATACATACGTTTGCTTCTAGAAGTGATTCTTGAAAGCTTTTGGTCATAAACTTATCAGTTGCAAACTTAAAACACTATTAGACTACTAAGTTATGCTAATTAACAAATATTTATACACAACAGTCCTATCGTCGTTAGCAATCAGATATTAGAATATACAACTTTTCTTATTTTTACACATTTAAGAAACTTAATGCATTCTTTATTAATCAAAGAAAAAATCGCTCGTTCTTCATAGAATATCATATAAGGAAATACTGAAGAAAACGTAGGTATGTTCACATATTAGAATGAAACTAGTGAAACTAAAGTTGTAAAAGGTCCTCTGGATTATAGGTATTCTCTAACTTCAAACTATAGTGCGTCCAATGTAGATTCACTTACAGTAATAATCACATTATAAAATCAGTCAGGAGAATAAGGTTAGTAGTAAACAATAGACAAACATTACATTTGTTGGAATTCGATGGTCAGTCAGAATGGTTCTCTGGATTACTTCAAAAGTGTAAAAGAAATTAATTAAAATAAAGCAATCTTAAGTATGCAAACAATATTCCTGAAGTGGGTGTAGGAATTCCCTCGCGGAATACTTGCAAATAACAAGAAACTAATGCGTTACTTAATTTTGTTAGCTCTATGTTATTTGAGTAACATTATGCTTTTTTTCATTGCAATTCTACTTCAGACCCCTATTTTTTAAAGACCTAAACAAAATAGTCATATATGTAGTGTTATTCAATATTATTCCCATCCTAATTAAATAACTAGTGGTGAAAAGTTGTCCTTAAGGATATTTAAATCGACATAGACGATTTCTTTTCTTGCCATGTTAAGATAAATTTCAAAAACAATTTTTAAATGTAAAATGTATTTCTGGCATAATTATAACCACAAAATAAGCTTTTAAATATATAGATGTATATGAAACGCATATATATAACTTACATGAATAACCATATCCGTATGCGGAACAATAGTTATCAAGAAGAATAAATAATATAACTAAATAGGAATATACCGTCATTTTAATTAATCTCTAAACCATTTTAGCGATGCTACATTTATGTAATTATTGTACAGCGGAATTATTCTTTGCACTTTCGATTTTTTTTTCATATGATCAGAATACACAGTTCACTTATCGACCACACGATTATTGTACAACATAGTTACTTTATTTCCTTTTTCAGTACTCAATTTATTTATTAAATGCAAGTAGGGAAGATAATAATAATAATAATAATAATAATAATAATAATAATAATAATAATAATAATAATAATAAATCTTTCTGTAAGATTGAATAGCGCCAAGCAAAGACGAAGTTAATCCATAAAATACATAACTGCACAATACACATTTGGAACAGTCCGATAATACATCTATCTGCTATGACTTGTAATATGAAAATAAAGGAAAGCTGATTAAACTAAGTATGACCTTTTGGAAAACTTGAGAAGAAATAATCGATTTGTGGTTTTTGTATGAACTAACGATTCCTTTGCACTTGTGGAATGCTTGACTTCCGATTCTAAATATTGTACATTCCTTCGTGCTTATCTAGTACTTCTTGTTCCAAATGCGTTATTTCTGGAATTCCTAGTATGTACTATGACTCAAATACTTCTAATTATCACATTGGCGTCGGGATGGAGCCTGTGATGGAATATTTGGACATACATTCAGATTCTAATGCCTTTGAGAATTACTTGAAACTGTTCGAAATCTGAGCTATGACCAACTCAAGTCAATTTATACTATCGCTGTAAATTCTTTTCGAAGTAAAGATAGCCTTTCCTTAAATTTACTGATGTTTGGAGTGTCTCCATCGGCGAGACTACAATTTATAGACGGACCAGTCAGCTTTACGATAACGGGTCTTGGCTTTTGGCGCTAAATTAATTAATTCATCTAACTGAATAGAATTTTGGAATTATAGCTTATGTCAGTTCATAATGAAAACCATAAATCTTTTTAGCTACCACAATATTTCTAATATGCATTATTATATTATATATGGCTGTGTGTAATCCCAAGTTTTGTTGCCTCATTTGTTGAACAGACTATATTAAGCTGAAAGCACTACAGAGATAATACTGAAATCCTTATGAATTTTGTTCAAATCTCTAAAACGTTTACTGAAGAAAGCCTTTGATACGTTAAGGGTGTTGAGATGACGGCTTATTACAGAGCTGTCTTCTGTCCATTACCGTCATGAATCTGTTTTCGTTTGGACCTTCAGGTTCAATTTTATATTAACGTCTTTATGTTTAATATTGTGTGCCTCTGAGTTGTCCATAGATGCACTGATACACTATGCAAATAAACATGGAAAATATCAACTAATACAAGTTTTATAAATGACGATGAATGTATGTTCTGGTGAAACCTAGTGTAAACATTTATTGTCATTCCTCGATGAACTGGATTAATAGTTCAAATTACAAATTTCGTTGCCCGTTCAAAGTAATTTATTACTTTACAAAATTCAAAGTGATTAACTGTGAAAATATCAAGTACGTAGAAAAACTGGAAGCGAAGTTAACTAAAAAAAAGTTGTTGGTTCAATTTAGCGAATTGTTCAACGATGATCCGTAGTGCTGCTGTCTGATCTGTCTACAATATATCCGTACGGAATCCAACCTATCGATCTCGATGTTTTGCATCCACTGAATCTTTAATTCGGTTTAACAACATTGTTGGAAACTTCCTGGTACTGATAGCAATGTGGTGCCTCTGTGGTTCACATACTTGCTGAGGTTTCCTTTCTTTGATATATTGATTAATTGCTCTTCAGCTGGTATACTGTCAGGTCCCGCTGTGATCCCTCTATTGACCATACTGATTTCTTCGTCTGTTGGTGGGGTAACCTCTATAGAAAATCTCTAGCTGTTACCTCAGTGTTCAATGGGTTTGGTGAGATCGGTATATCTTCAAAGTGTTCTATCTACCGGTTTCTCTGATCCTTAATCTCAGTGATTGGCTTGCTTGCTTTTTTTGAGTGGTCTCTTCAGTTTGCTATATCTGCCTGCTAGTTTCTCCGTTGCGCCACATAGCCGTCTCATATGTCCTTCTATTGCAGCTTTATCTGCATTCCTTACTATTTGTCTTCGCTTATCGTCTATAATGCTCCTCTCCACTCTTTCTTTTGCTTCGGTGTCTTTGACCAGTGATTCTTGAGGCCCATGTTGGATTATCTCCCCTTTTAAGTAGATCTTGTAAAGCTTAACACTTGTTGCTGAGAGCTATATTAAATTCATTGAGTTTTTCGCTATCTCTAGGAAAGTCTGTTTTAAGCTTTGTAATTCTGTTTCTTCGGTTTTTCAGTGCTTCATTAAATCCAGTTTCATCTCGATCATCATGATTTGAACCTATGATGGCTGCTCTCTTTTATCTGATGTCTTCCACCGATCTTCTAAATATCCTTAAGGATGGAAATGTGATCTATCTGGTTCGGTGGGGAGATATGTGGAGATAGACTTAATAAACCTATTTTGTAAATAGTTTTTGATGTCTTTTGCATTTATTTTGCCGATTCTCACAATCTGTACATTTATCATTAATCGATTGCACTTGTTGTTCAAGTATATAACCTTGGATACTTACATTCTTCCTTCTGTTTTTGAATTCCACATAGCATGACATTGTTAACTGCTCATAATTAAATACACTTCCATACATACGTCTCCTGTTTTATCATGTTTGTGGATGTGATAACGGAACGATTAATTAACTATCATCTATATTTAGAGACTTTTGTAACATTCACATTACGTTCTACGTTCGGATATACTACTTGAGCCATATCGTCTCATTGGAATTATTATTTACCTATAATTGTGGATTCTGGTACCAAAACCAACGAGACACACGCCAACCTGCCGATTTAAGTAACGTCACTAAACTTTTATTTGTGTTACTATCTCATGTGTTATTTATTGCTACATTAACCTTTGGATGTAATAACTTTATTGCTGTTTTTCGGTTAATATACTTTTTGGTCCACCGTATGTGTATAGTTTTGTGAGAGGATATAGTGCAATTTAAAACCTTTTTTGATGCACATAAATTTGTAAATCTCTCCACATCTTTGTCATTTATCGTCTTGACTGCCAACATTGGTGAGTGCGTGGCATTGAATAACACTCATTATGATCTACTTCCTTTTTTAGATGATCCTTTGACGTTTCCGGATGCTTGAAATTCTCATTCCGCAAGTACATTACGTACTTCAATGGACAGCATTATTTCAACTCCTTGTATGTGCGAAGCATTTTTTTCTTCATGACCACAGTACGACAGCATCTCTCCCGAATCTATCCTTTTCTGTCCAGCTTAAGTCCATTGGGTTTCACTGATTCTGAGCACCACTGAGTTGCATCTCCTCACTTCCGCGGCTATTTGATTGGTCCTTCTGTTCTCCCATATTGTTCCATGAACCACTAAATATTGTTGCTCTGATTGTTAGGAGGGGCATCGGTCTCGTGACTTACAAAGAATCTCGAATCTCATTATGGGGCATTATAATTCTTCTAAATGAAAGTCCTCTAACTTCGAAGACAGCGTTCGAAATTTTTAAAAATTTTTTCTGGTTGGCGTCTTTTAACAAAGTCTATTCTACGGAATGGTGTTGCTGATTTCATGCTCAACCCTCCTCCTTCCTCCAGTCTTGAGACCATCAGTGACCTTAAAAGATTCATAGTCGGTGTCATTTGGTGATATTAATGTTATTTTCTTGCATTGACTATCGAATTTCCTACGCGTTTCGGTGTTTCTGTCGAAGAATGACGGTTTTCAACCTGTGGATTTCATTTAGTCCGAACGGTTTTCTGTGAGAATACATGGTGTTCTTATATGTGTATCGGTTATTTGCTCTACTTACAGGTCCGGTGGTTACAAATGTCGTTATACTTTTGAAATTATAAACATCATTCAAATGGTTCAAATGGTTCAAATGGTTGTGGACGGAATAGAAGAAGCTTCCGCTTAACAGGCTTCCGTGTCAAGTAGCAGGGGATCACCAAATCCTTCAGACAGGAACCTAGGTATGTTAACAATAAAAGAGGAAAAGAAATTAGTAAATCGTAGTGTGATACTATCCTTAGTCCTTAAGAATTCATCAAGTTGCCTCTTAAAGGATTCCTGAGAAGTCGCTTGAACTAGCTCGGCCGGCAGCGAATTCCAGCATTTGACAACTCTTAAGGAGTAGAAGTTGTGCCTACAGTCCGTTCTGCTATGTTGTGGCTCCAGTTTTTTGGTGTTACCCCTTAGGTTAGTGTTGGAGCTAAGCTTAAGTAGGTGCTAGAGAGGATGTCCAGACGTGTTAAGGATACTATAAGCCATAAGGTCACCTCTAAGACGTCTATACTCTGAAGGGTAAAGGTTAAGTGAATAGATGCGCTCTTCGTAAGGTTTAAATTTGAGTCCTCGAACTGATTTCGTGGCTCACCGTTGGATACGCTCCAGGGTGTCCTTATCCTTTTGGAGTGAGGGGGGAAATACTATGTTTCCGTACTCTAAATGGGGACGGATAAAACTATTGAAGATTATGTGGAAAGTCAAACTGGCCAATGTTACCAGTGCAAGGTTTGTTCGGAAGGCATTTTTGTCACAGTTAGCGTAAGGCTTTAAATCGTAGGGCACCAAGACTCCTAAATCTTTTTCGACTTGGGATACTACTAGGGAGGAGTTACCTAAGTTATAACCGTAGTCTGCGACATGTCGCAGATGGACTACATTACATTTTAAAGTGTTAAAGGTAAGTCCGTTATCGTCTGCCCAACTTTGGAGTCGAGTCAGATCATCCTGAAGTGCCTGTATATCGTCTTGGGTGCATATCTCTCTCCAAAGTTTCACATCGTCGGCAAAAAGTAAAAAGTCTGGCGTTGCCTGTTGAGGAAGATCATTTATGTAGATCAAGAAGAGAAGAGGTCCTAGTACTGAGCCCTGGGAGACCCCACTAAGACATTCCATAGCCTGAGATAAAGTGAAATTAACCCTGACTCTAAAATGTCGATTTTTCAGGTATGAAGTGAGCCAATCGATTAGAGGTGGTTTGATACCTAGTCGTCTGAGTTTATTGATAAGACATGTATGGTTCACCTTATCAAAGGCTTTTGAGAAATCTAGGTAGATGATGTCAACCTTCCCCTTGTGATCAAGGATGCTTGTCCATCTGTCCACCGCAGTCAGCAGGTTGGTAATACAAGAGTAACCCTTCCTGAAACCATGTTGTTGGGGTGAAAAGAAATTTAAGGACAGTAAATAGTCATTTATACCATTGCATATCTGGGACTCCATGATTTTTGAGGGTATGGAGAGAAGAGCCACCGGTCGGTAACTTGAAAGTTCGCTGCGTCCACCTCCTTTGAAAATTGGTGTGATGTGAGCCAACTTCCAATTTTCCGGTAGTTTTCCTCGACTTAGCGAGTGTGAGAACATCACGCTAAGCGGCGTTGCCAAGATTGAGGCTGCTTCCCTCAGTATGGCTGAATGGACCATGTCCGGGCCAGGAGAAGTGTCTAATATTAAGTGCTGCAGTTTCCGGAGCACCAAGTCAGCGCTTAGGTTCACTTCGGAAAGTCCTGTGGAATTGCAAACGAAACTGTCATCAGTAAAGTTAATATCGGTCGGTTGAAATGTCTGGGAGTAATGTTCAGCCAGAAGGTTAGCGGCGTCGCCATCGTTGTTCGTCGAGCCGTTAAGACATACCAGTTGGGAAACTCCAGTTTTGGCTTGACGAAGAGAGGCTGCATAACGGAATAAGCTTTTAGGATTAGAGGCAAATTTGTCCATAAGCTTTGTCTGGTACTGAAGCCTATCTTCTCTTATAGCCTTCGTGCATATGTTCCTGATATGTTTATATTGCGCGTACGCTCCGTTGTTGTCAGTTCGTTTGTATTCCGCCCAACAGTGCCTTTTGCGGCTTAGCAGGGGAAGGGTTTGGTTCTTGATTATTGTAGGTGGCTTGCAGCTTTTGGGAACCGTTTGAGGAACTGAATGGCTTGTCACAAGTTGAAATCATGAGTCAATTGAAGCTAGACCACCATGGAAAACCTGGAAGCACTGGACGGCCGTTTCGATCTGGTATGGGACTCCTCAGCAGTGAGCATCCACGACCCCGCACCTCGCTGGATTCGAACCCAGGACCTACTGGTTTCGCGCGCGAGCACTTAACCATTAGACCACTGAGTCGGCATCCAATGGTGTTAATGTCTAACTTCAACCGATCCCATTTTGAATGGTTTGAAGCACGTAAGAGCGTGCAGTAAGAAGTACCAATGACCGTCCACATCGAGTTGGAGGCGAACATCCCAAACCACCTGTTGTAGATAGCCGTGTAGAGCTGGCACATTTAACCGTTTAGAATTCCAATGCAAGTTTTTAGTGGGGTATCGTAGCTTAGTTTTGGTGACAAAACTGAAGGCTATGACGGTATGATCGCTTTTTCCCAAGAGAGCCAGGATTGAGAGGTTGTCAACTAGAAATTCTTCGTTTGTGAATACACAATCTAAGCGCGATCGTGTCTGATTGTTTCTCCAACGAGTTGCCGACTCCACATTTTCGTACAATCCCAAGTCATCGATGAGGTTGTAGAACCGAGCTTCAATTGAGTTATCGCCTCCAGTATACGTGTGTTCCGCGAAGATTAAAGTCCCCCAGAATAAGGATGTGTGTGAAACCGAGACGAGTAGAGCGGGATAGTCCTTCCAGCATACGACTATCGTACTCGATGTCGGCAGTTGGCTTCCTGTAAATGACTCCGACTAGACACCTCGAAGTACTGGACAATCTTACAGAGCACCATATAGATCCCTCAAGATTGTTAAACTCGAGGTTGTGAACTTGATGCACCTCCAAGCAGCAGCATATGTAAACTGCTACTCCACCCCCATATCCTGACTTTCTGTCATTGCGGAACAAAGACAACCCAGGTAATGCTAACTCATGGTCCGAGAACTGAGATGTCCAGGTTCAAGATATTCCTATCAGATGGGCCTTATTAGCATTGCTAAGTTCACGTAGTTCATCCAATTTGTTTTTTAGACTCGTAGTTAATGCTTTCAAGTTGAAATGCGTGAGCTTCTTCCTGTTTGTCTGTATGAGCCTTAGGTGAATGGACAAGTAGTAGACGGGGTCTAGAATCACCATCCTTCTTGGCTAGTCTCGTCACATGCTGAGTCAGTATGTTTTTCAGCCTCAAGGACTGTTTGATGAAATTCTATTCCCTGACGTCAGTCTTCGATTGAGTAGGGTCCGTATTTTCCGGTATACCTTGCACGATTATATTCCTCCCGCGGAAAAACTGATCGCGAGTTTCTTTGGGGATGTTCTGGATGAGACTGCGCTCAGAATACCTTATGTCAGGCAGTATTCTTACATTCTCATCTGATTTCAGTAAATGACTCGCTAGTAGAACATCCTCAACGTCGGTAGCATTCTTAAGTGTTACACGAAGTAGTCTCGGGTGATTTTGATGCTTAGATTCCTTTCCTCGAGTGAGCCGTGTGACTGTCAAAGGCTCTATTCTTGGAAGTCCAAGTTTTTTGTTCAGTTCTCCCCAGAGCATCCTATCATTTTTGTCCTGCAAACTGAGAGGAAGGTCAGGGCTGTCTTTGAAGTTCATGACTATGAGAGAGTCATCACAAACCGTTATTGTCGTCCCAGGTTTTCGGGTGCGTTCAGGTTTAGCACCTTGTTGTTTGGGGGTCAAAGCATGTTTATGGATCCTTGGCTCTTTGATGATCGGACGGACAATCTTGGGGGTAGACTGTGCGACCAGATCACCAGTTGACTTCCATTCAACAGCTGGGATGTTCAACTTAGACTGTGACGCCTGGTTCCTTTTAGCTCTTTTGACATGGGTCCAATCACCAGAGTTTTTGGGAACCACTGTCGCGTTCAAGGACCTTGAGCTGTGAGACCCGAGTTTTCTGAGAGAGTCGAGTACCGTCGTCGTATACATGGTGCCGAGTTTCAGCGTGTCATCATTAATGCTGTTGCATGCTACGTCGTTGGTAGACCTGTCGACATCCCTCTTCTCGTTTCCACTGCGCTTCCTTGTTTGTCTACCATTTTTTGACTGTCTTTTCCCAAGTTTGCCGACAACTTGCTCTGCAGACCAGTCAGTAGGACAATGATATTACTCAGCAAGACTGCAGCATCCGTGCTGCACGTTACACATTCCCACTTATGATCCGACTTGCTGAGTCTGTTGTAAGCGATTGCTGTGAGATCTGTGCACGCTTCGTGGAACCAATCTTTGAAGTTGTCGCACTGCATCCCAGATGTAACAGCAAAACGGCATCCAGGCCGTTTGAATGAATTTTTCATCACTGTATTGACGTAAACTGTGTTGTGGGTGCAACAAAGGCCTAGGACCGTAAAAAATACACTAAAAAACACACTGAAAACGGACAAAAACTGAACTGGTCTCTACATGAAAAACTGGAAAAAAACTGAATAGTAAGCTGAGGCAAAACCACAGTTAATTATTAAATTGGGTGAAACTCAAGAAAATCAGTAATCTACCGAACGTTTAGCTCAGGATAGATTCTTTTGGACAGAAATGGAACTTTTGTTGCGTAAGAACACAGCAAAAGTTTGATGAATGCAAACCATATTAGGACTAAACTTCCCCTTCGAAAAGCGCGGTACCGTGGTTCATTGACCACTAATCATAGTTCTTTTAACACTGATGCTTTATTTGCGGGCACTGACTGGTCTGGTCGAATTTCTTCTGTACTTATCTCTGAATGACAAGAAGTTGATGCATCTTTCATCATTCAGATTTTTGAAATCCCAGAAATAAATGTATCAACCAAATTGCTATAAATCAAAAATCCCAAAGCGTACGTAAAGAAAATGGAAACTGAGTAACACATAACGCAAGTGATCAGCCGTTATCAACAATCGGATAGTGATGTTTCAATAGCGTATGATTCAAGAGGAAGCTGACAGTTAGAGCTATACAAAATGCCTCATACTTAATGATAATTAAATGTTGTCTTTGATATTGATCATTATATCCATTTGTAATCCTTTTTGTTCATCTTTTATGTTTTCGTCGAGGATGAAGTAGAGACCATATTGATATGGCACGATGAGTAGAACTCAGTCTCTAACTTGATTTTATAAGTCATACCATTTCGATGGTCCGTGTTATTGTGAAGATGTTTTTATAATTCTTCTAAATATCTTTTGTTTTTCTTGAGGCATATAGCTTCTTTGACAGTAAATTGGCCATATCTCAACTACTTGTCAAGATCTGACATAGTGTTCAGATTTAAGTGCCGATTGATCTTCCAATGCTTCAAAGCAGCCATAATAAATGTGAAATAAAAAATGTATGCCAAATCATTAGAGTGTACAATCGAATTTCTCCTTATAAGCTGATTCGAAAGTATTAACAAGAAACAGTTACGAGAGGGACCTGAAGACTGATGAGTTTCATTGAAGCCATGGACTTATTAGAGTTGATCGCTCCCGAAACCCTCATAGAGTTAGATGGCCGTTTACTTCTCACCAATAGCTAGCCTAGAATGAAGACTCAAGAAGGACCTGATCACTAGGTTCCAAACCTTTTATGATCTACTCAATGGAGAAGGAATTACTATGGAGAGCAACTGGAAAGAGGTCAAAGAGACGATCACCTCAACATGTGATGAGGTTCTGGGACACACGAAGCACCACCGAAAGAAATGGACCATTATTGAAACAATGGATAATTATCAAAAAAGGAGGAACAAGAAGCCAGCAATCAATACCAGACGAACAAGAGCAAAGAAAGCAAAGGCACAAAGTGAATACACAGAAATAAACAAGCAGATGAAGTGGAGCATCAGAACCGACAAACGTAAATATGTGGAAGATTTAGCAACGACGGCGAAAACGGCTGCAGGAGAAGGAAACATGAGGGAACTGTATGACACGACAAAGAAACTCTCTGGAAATCACCACAAACCAGAACGACCAGTGAAAAGCAGGGGAGGCGAGGTAATCATCAACATTGAAGAGCAACGAAACAGATGGGTAGAACACTTCAAAGAACTCTTGAATCGACCAGCCCCACAGAACCCACCCAACATCGAAGCAGCACCCACGGACCTCCCAATTAATGTTGGCCCACCAACAATTGAAGAAATCAGCATGGCCATCAGACAAACCAAGAGTGGCAAAGCAGCAGGGCCAGACAACATTCCAGCAGAGGCACTGAAAGCAGACGTAGCGGTAACTGCAAGGATACTCCATATTCTCCTCAATAAGATTTGGGATGAGGAACAAGTACCAACAGACTGGAAAGAAGGACTTCTGATCAAAATACCGAAGAAAGGCGATCTCAGCAAGTGTGATAACTACAGGGGCATCACTCTTCTCTCAATACCAGGAAAAGTTTTCAACAGGGTATTGTTAAACAGAATGACAAGCTCCATAAATGACCAACTTCGAGACCAACAGGCAGGATTCCGTAAGGATAGATCGTGTACAGACCAAATCGCAACTCTACGGATCATTGTGGAACAATCAATTGAATGGAATTCATCACTCTACATCAACTTCATTGACTACGAAAAGGCATTTGATAGCGTGGACAGAACAACACTATGGAAACTTCTTCGACACTACGGCGTGCCTCAGAAGATAGTCAATATCATACAGAACTCATATGATGGATTACACTGCAAAATCGTGCATGGAGGACAGTTGACGGACTCGTTCGAAGTAAAGACCGATGTCAGGTAAGGTTGCTTACTCTCACCCTTTCTCGTTCTCCTGGTGAACGACTTGATCATGAAGACGTCAACGTCTGAAGGAAAGCGCGGGATACAATGGACATCTAAGATGCAGTTGGATGATCTAGACTTCGCAGACGATCTGGCCCTTCAATTCCAAACGCAACAACAGATGCAGGAGAAGACGATCAGTGTAGTAGCAGCCTCAGCAGCAGTGGGTATCAATATACACAAAGGGAAAAGCAGGATTCTCCGATACAACACAGAATGCACCAATCCAGTCACAATTGACGGAGAAGATTTGGAAGATGTAAAAACCTTTACATATTTAGGCAGCATCATTGATGAACATAGTGGATCTGATGCAGATGTGAAGGCGCGGATCGGCAAAGCAAGAGCAGCATATTTACAACTGAGGAACATCTGGAACTCAAAGCAACTGTCAACCAACACCAAGGTCAGGAATTTCAATACAAATGTCAAGACAGTTCTACTGTATGGGGCAGAAACCTGGAGAACTACGAAAGCCATCATCTAGAAGATACAAGTGTTTATGAACCCTTGTCTACGCAAAATACTTCAGATCCGTTGGCCGGACACTATTAGCAACAACCTACTGTGGGAGAGAACAAACCAGATCCCAGTGGAGGAAGAAATCAGGAAGAAGCGCTGGAAGTGGATAGGACACACATTGAGGAAAGCACCCAACTGCGTCACAAGACAAGCCCTCACATGGAATCCTGAAGGCCAAAGAAAAAGAGGAAGACCAAAGAACACATTACGCCGATAAATGGAGATAGACATGAGAAAAATGAACAAGAATTGAATGGAACTAGAAAAGAAGGTCCAGGACAGAGTGGGTTGGAGAATGCTAGTCAGAGGCCTATGCTCCATTGGGGGTAACAGGCGTAAGTAAAGTAAGTAATAACAATATCTGAGGTCCATGGTGAGGGTGCTATAGGTTTCCATAGTTATGAGACGCTTTTATCCGTACCAACTTCACAACCAAAAGACACCAACCTAGTTAATACCAGAAGTGAGAAACGAAGAAGTTCGAAGATATATTTCAAATTTGCCGACATATTGAGAAGTGTTTGTTCATAGGTTTGTATGATAATTGTTGAGAGGGATGCGTGGAACGATCTATTTAGTGGTGATGTGGTGCGGATGTGTGACCAAGTGCCTGCAGCTGGAGTATGTCCGGTCAAGCAAACTAGGTCAACGTAAATGTCAAAGACATACAGAACTATTCAGTCCCAAGATCTATTTACCGCTACGACCGAAATGTCAGTGGTTGACTCATAACGCATGCCGTACAGCAAGAACACTCATAAGCATGCATAACGTATTTAAGAGCGTTACAGATGGCATGGTCCCTAGGAATTTAGGAAGTGCCTGATCGGGCTAAAATGATATCAAATGGGTGGGCAAAAATAGACTACCAAGGTGCATGGTAAGAGGTGCTATACTTTACGAAAACCCCCTAAGAATAATGGATTTTTACTCACTGGGATATAGAAGGGTGAGAGATTATTTTACATTGATCCGGGAGAATACTAAGTTCCTCATAAATCTGCTGGGACACTTACATCATTGTAACAGATACTATAAACTGAACATTCACTGGTTACAAGTCAAACGTAACAGAATAATCTGTTACATGCTATATAGCATATAAGCAAATATCCTATTCCTTACCAGCAGTCAGGACTTGAAATCCCACATTATTTGGGGGTTGGAGTACTTTTCATAAAGCTTTCCGAAAGAAACTGTAGGGCCAGTGAAATGTCACTGAGCCCTAGCCAAATCATCTGGCAGTTGGATCACTGAATGTCGAACAGATCATCGCTCCCTGCCAAGGTCAGGTACAACAAACGCGCATTAGTTAATCATACGCCATGGACTGGCCCATGCGGCAGTGGTCTTACTTTCGCCTGTATCTACCTTAACTAATATATTTCTGTAATAACGTCCTTTGTGTTGTACAGTCTTCAAAGCATCTATAGTACCTTGTTACGTCAATGGGGGTAGTCCACGTAAGGTGCTGACCACGAGGTATGACTTCGAAGTTAGTTGGTTCGTCACACTATTCACGTCTAACTCGAGTCGGCCTCCAATCATTTCGACATAGATCATCTACGTTGGTGATCTACACTGGTGAGCAAGACTTCGAATAACGCAACCTATCACTATAATCCTTATTATTGTATTCTATACTTATTCTTTTTCATTTTTATCATCGCCTATGTTAATCTGTTACTGTGAACTTTCGTTGCTTCATGTCAATGTTGATTAGCATTTAAACCTAAATAATTCGTTCAATCGACAGAACTAACCAATCAACTACGATTATAATCAGCTATCGTGGTTCTTTAACAAGCATTAGCAGCATGTAAATGCTCCTGTGTAATATGTCTGTTAAAATATCAACCACTTGTGAGTATAGCCACAAGGCAACACGAACGCACATCTGTTTTTAACTTATCCACTGGTATAAATAAGACAAGATTAACTATCGACTATAAATTCATCTTTCTGCTTAACCACTATCCACTAGAATGTTCTGCTTTTTTTACCACTGCCTGCCTAATTTCCAATTGCTGAGTTCCATGGCCAAACAGAGGATACGAATGCTAGAAATTCACGACTGTTCGTCAGTCTACAACGCTGTGTTAATCGAAAAATTTAATCAACAGTACCTCGTACATAATCCAGATTCAAACTACTGCCTACTTCATATCTTCATTACTTAGAGGCAAGAGTAACCCAGGCGAGTTTCATAATTTCATTAGATTATTTCGTACTATATTTATGATGCGTGATAACATTTCGTAGTTGCTTTCACGTAAACTAGTCATATACTCTGTCGCTGCCGTCAAGTTTTAGTCGAAATCATGTACATTTATGACTCGTTAGTCGACATACTGTGGTAAAACATATTGCATGTACACGAGCACGCTTAGTCCATGTCCCAAGTACACACGTTGTCGTACTTAATATGTCACTTCACGCTAGGTAATAAGCTCTTTGTATCAGCCTTTTACGAAATGGCCACGTTACCTGGATCCTATAAACCTTAGTTACATTGGTGGTTACCATTTTAATTAATGTTTATTATACCCCTTGTATTTGCTAATAATTCACACGGTAAATCATGGCTCGATTTCCTTATTACACGACAGTCATTTTAATTCTATTTTCGGTTTATTTACATGCGATACGGGTTTGAAAAATATCTAAACGTCCTCAAAAATTCTCCACGAACCCAACCATAGTTTTCGTATATGTTTTTATTCACACATCCAACTGTTACGCTAATAATACCTAAGCGAGCGTTCAGTGCAACTGTCAGCATACGTAAGAACGATGTTATTTAGACTTGACATTGTAACACATCTGAACTATTGTAGTTGTTCTACTTCGATGTCGTACTTCATTTTATGAAGTATTGTTTCCTCTTGGCTGTTATTTAACAGATGATTCCGGTACATCAATCGGCTGTTTAACTACTCGACGATTTACAACCTGTCCAGTTCAATTGGTGGTCTGACGACAATATCATTCGCGCGAATCATCAGTTTATGCAGTCGAGCGAATCTCCTGCAAACTGAAAACGATATTGTCGCCTCTATCCCAACACTGACAGCGTTTTTCACGGGTATCATTGACATGAGTCCAGAGTGACACTCTTGGTTTCTTATGTTCTTTTCGACAATTTTCTGTTCACTAACCGAACAAACACGCAGCATTCACCGTTTATCATCTTTTAGAGACTTCATCGTGCCACCTTTGCTGTGGATTTGTAGCCTTCAACCCTTACTGACTGTAACAGCAGTCATCGACTTTTCAAACTGTGACTACAAGTTGGTCAATAGCTTCGCACAACGAAATCACGACCACTCTTCACTGTTATACTTCTGTACTTACGGTTAGTCTGTCAGATATAGATATAACTAGAATTCGACACTAATTAATAGCTGTCAACGACACTGTTCGACTTACAACTTTAAACAAATGACAGTACAAATATGGATATCGATTGATAATACACTTGTCCTACTATCGCTATAGCATCATTACTCTTGCGGCAGACTTAACGTTTGTCATCGGAGGAACTGAATTACTTGTCAAGGCTATATATTTCAGCGCGACTTGATAGAACAATAAAACGTTTTGTTCTTTTCATTATTTCTATGATTAATCAATTTACGTTTAAGCAACGTCCTACTAACATATTATGACTCGCTGTTTCCCGACCAGTTTCTGCCGCCTCCTTTCCATTTGTTTTACAGATAAGCAATACCTGGAGGATTTATAATATTCGTTTGGCACTCTCCGGCGAGCGACTGCTCCCAACATGTTTGGTACCGATTCAAACGGCCGCTGAATCTGGTGGGGGAGTATTGTAGGGCCAGTGAAATGTCACTGAGCCCTAGCCAAATCATCTGGCAGTTGGATCACTGAATGTCGAACAGATCATCGCTCCCTGCCAAGGTCAGGTACAACAAACGCGCATTAGTTAATCATACGCCATGGACTGGCCCATGCGGCAGTGGTCTTACTTTCGCCTGTATCTACCTTAACTAATATATTTCTGTAATAACGTCCTTTGTGTTGTACAGTCTTCAAAGCATCTATAGTACCTTGTTACGTCAATGGGGGTAGTCCACGTAAGGTGCTGACCACGAGGTATGACTTCGAAGTTAGTTGGTTCGTCACACTATTCACGTCTAACTCGAGTCGGCCTCCAATCATTTCGACATAGATCATCTACGTTGGTGATCTACAAAACGTTGATATTTCCTAAAAATTCAACATATCTCAGAGTTTTCACAGGTTGAATTCATGAGTCAGAGTGACTCACTGATACTTCATCTGTTTGTACTGATTTTATATACCTAGGTTCCTACCTGAGCTATAAGTGATTCATTGCAATTAGAAAAAAAAGTTAGATAAGCCAACGTCTCTCTTATTCCTCTCATGATCAGTATAACCATTGGGCATTGTAAATCGTTGTTCATAATACTTGGAAATGCACATCGAAAGGTCGCGCGGGCGTTCCAAGGATGTCTAAAAACAGTTCGGCTCCTTCTATAAATGATTTCGTGATGATAAAACCTATAAGCAAAGGTGCTTTTGGGTACTGGATTTTTTTCTGTGTAATCTTGAAAGAAAAGTGTTTTTAGGAGCTAAGGCAAACAATTTTGACCTTATATACGCAATAAAAATAATGTCTAAAGAAGAAATGAGGAAAAAAAATCTTGTAGAGAAAGGTAAGTTGATTGTTAATCAATACTACTCCGCAGTTACTTGTGAGCGAAATGCTCTTGCAGTTAGTAAATGTCCATACATCGTCCATTTGTACTACTGTTTGCAAACCACCAGTCACATATATTTGGTAGTAGTCATTGTTATCATAGTCTGAAATTGCAGGTTATGGAATACCTCGTCGGTGGTGACCTTAAGTCACTTTTGCTGGTTATGGGCTGTCTTCAAGAATCTCACGCTGCTATCTATACTGTTGAAATTGCAATAGCCTTGGAATATCTTCATACACATGGAATAATCCACCGTGATCTTAAACCGGATAATATACTTATTGACTCCAAAGGACATTTAAAGCTGACGGATTTTGGTTTGTCTACTATAACATGGAAGCGTCGTAAGTTTTCTAAACTTGTCTCATTTGCAAGATTTTCTCAATAACTGCTTTGATCCTTCGAAATTCTTTGTTAGAAGTCACTACTTCTAATAAGTTTATTTTAAAACAGTTTTCATCCTCAAGTTTTGTGTCTGTACTTAATCCTAGTCAAAGTTAAATTTTCTGTAAACATATACGAATAAGAATCTAACGTATTAGAGAAATCTTACGTCTAATAATTACTTGAACAGGCTTAGAGTGAAACGGAAACCAACTACTGGATGCATGCCTGATTTTCGTAAATAAACCAACGCTGTTTTGAGCGCATTTTCATCATAATTTCACAAAATTTATTCTATGGAGAGGCCCATAACAGTACATTAAATTTGTCAAAAAATGTAGCAGTCGATGAAATATCGGAAAGTCAGGGTCTCAATACAGTCAAGCATTATTCATTGAATGGTAAATATGTCATCATGATAGGAGGCAGCCTTTTTTGTTGTTATCTCTCCTGAGGTAATGTCTCTTTCATCGAATTTAGCTCATATAAGTTATCAGTTTTTCAAAATGTTTTATACTTTAAGAAGTATACACCAAAACGTTATGGCAAAGGGAAATCTTTCGTGAACGGACATTCAGTTTCAGTTTTTAAACGACAGAAGGCTTGATGGCCTGTGTTAGTCCTGGCAATGGTGGTCTCTCAGTTGATCCAACTTTCTTTTGAAAGAGTCGACGGATGGAGGTAATGAATTCCACTCGTTGATGATTCGGTGGGAAAGTCGATTGTCAGCTGACAAGTAATTTGTTCTAGGCTTATGAACTTTTTTGGAGTGTCCTCGTAAATTCTCTGTTTTGGAAGATAAGAAAAATAAGGGCATGTCAGGTGCAAATTTATCAATCAGTAATTTGAAGACTGTAATCAAGTCGCCTCTAGTTCTGCGATATGACAACGGGAAAAGGTTCAGCTTGGCCAGTCAAGCTTCATACGGAAGCTTCGCTATTCCGGGAATCAGCTTAGTCGCCGTTCTCTGAACCTTTTCTACAAGCTCACTGTCTTTTTTTAAGCAGGGGCTAGCCGCTTGTATGCAGTACTCAAGTTTAGGACGTACGAACACTATACAAAGTCAAAAACGTCTTGGCGTCAACATGACTTAAAGCCCTACGTATTGACCATAAGGTTCTAAAACCTTTGGCGGCTATTGCACGGCAGTGTGCAGTAGTCTTTAGGTCTTGGCTAACGACAACTCCTAAGTCATTATATGTCTGGACGACAGGTAGCTCAGTGTTATTCATCGTGTATGTATCTGTACCTTGATGACCTTTATGCATCACAACACACTTGGAAGTATTTATCGGCAGCTGCCAGGTTTGAGGCCATTCAGATAACTTCTTCAGGTCATTTTGAAGTTCTAAGCTATCACTCTTACATCGTATCGTTCTCCATATCTTGACATAGTTAGCATATAGCAAGACCGATGATGATAGGAGACGAGGAAGGTCATTCACATACAAGAGGAATAGCACTGGCCCCAAAACTGTACCCTGAGGCACTCCACTAAGCACAGTTCCCCAGCTAGATAACTTTGAGTTCACCCTTACTCTTTGTTGGCGCCCAACTAAGAAGTCTTTTCCACATCATGTGGGAATTGTTAGTAATACACTTCACATCTGTATTTCTAGCATATCTGGGTCATCAGTTATAGTTAATTTCTTCGGAAAGTATAAACCGGTGTTACTTCTGCTCAAAAGAATGTCAGTTCTTGTTACTCTTGTTTTGCTTCGTCAAAAGGGATCTGTCCACTAAACGTGCTGCTATAACTTGGTTGGGTATTTTATGACATTTCAGTGTCCCTCTGTGCATGTGTGGGGTCCGGTTGTCATCTCTGATCTCTCCGGGTTTACTGTTTGACGGAAATAAATCACTTTCCTGAGATACTACATAACTTCCATAAAAAAGTCCTCCAATAGCCATCTGTGAATACTTGGTAAGCTTTCTCGGTTTTCCCGTGTTATTTGAGTTTTACTTCCCAATTATTTTACCGTCCTTCAATTTGTGTTTACTTTTATAGCCTTGCAGCCAAGTGACGTTTTGAATACACCATCTGTCGTCCCGTTACCTTTTCAATACTACCGAACTCCTGGCCAACTTATCTCGCTGACAACTGAACTGGCTTTCGTAAGTATTCGGGAATTAATTGTGTTTTGTTCACTTAAGAAGCAGTAAATGACCTGGTGCCCCCAAATGCCCTGGTACGGCCGAGAGTGGGGAGATTCCGCTCTCCCTCTCGAAATGCTCTCACACGGCCACGCGTATATAGCCTCTGCCAGGGAAGTCCTACTCACTGCCTTCTCGTGGCGCGGGTGTTGTTTACGAAAATGAGAGGACGAAAAGCGAATGTCCGGCGCTTCAACCGGATTCCAAACCAATGGTGCACATGGGCTCCAGTATCCTGCGGGAACAAATGGCGTATGAACCAATCGTTGGTCATCGGCTACCATGGGATTGCATCTCCTTACGATGCTCCACTGCCTTGTGGATCAGACCTTCAGGTCGAAGGCTCGGGGAGTGGCCCCCCAAGAAAACCACCTGGTTCGGTTTGGGCACCCGGTCAGTATCACAGCCCTCACACATATCGAATGAGATTTGTGTGGCACATATGTATTTGGTGCCTCTTTGTACCATTACCTATGTGTTGAAATAAATAAATAGTAAAATAATAACATTCAAATAAATCTACTATAAGAACAAATACCATTATCTTCGACTAGACTTGTAATTAGATAACGAACAGTAAAACAACATCTAAATCTGTTATGCTCCGATAAAAATAATGAGTGGTAATTTTTGGGATCCATTTGTGGACCAATACTATACGTATAGTTTACCGTATAATAGTTAGTTAACTAAACTATTCTTATCAATTAAATTTTTAAATATTTCAATGGCAGCCGATTGATTAACTTATCGACTCAATGTTTAGAAAACCTTCCATGGCAATATCGATATATATATATATATATATATATATATATATATATATATATACGTTTTGAATAGTGTTTGTGGGATCGCTCGTTTTTGGCTGTTTGCAGAATATACTTTCCCATTCCAAGCTTGGACTTCTCCCTCTAGTTAGCGGGGCTGGGACGCATCAAACAGCTAACTTACTGGTCTTTGGTCACTGAGTCTTTGTTCTCGTTCGCAGATTAATCGAACTCGTGATAGCTTCAAACCTATCAAAATCCTGATCTCTTGATAATAGTTTCTTTGAGTTATCTGAGTTATTTCGACAATCTACTCCACAAATCATTAGATTTTATACTCCCTGTTCGAGTCTGTCATCGTACTGTTAATGTGTTGTACAAGAAGTAAAAATCACATGAGTTACTATTATTTAGTCTCGTGATAGACTGAGCATGGTAAAATGCTTCTCTGAAAGTGTTTACAGTAAGAATGAATAAATATTGTGTTTTTTTAGACAGTAAGGGCGCATATAAATAAAGAGTTAAAAAGGCTCATCAAAATAAGAAATAAAACACAAGGATCGTGTCTGAATAAATATAAAAATTGCAGTGTTACGTTATTATGTTTGTGTCTGCCAACAGAATTTAGTTTTTAAAGCAGAGTGTATTTGAAAGCACTCGGCTTTGTAGAGTTTCGTAAACTTCGAATTTAACTATTTCCACGTACAACTAATTTATTTATTGTGCTTTTTAGACAGATACACCTATCCTACATAAAACTCATGAGGTTCTGGAGGAACGCTTATTGACTTCGCGCGATGACGATGCCAAAACGTGTTTCTCCCCCCAGTGTTTATCTTCAGCAAAAGTAGCGTTATTTGTATATTTTATTTATGTCGTCTAACTTTCGTTGATTAATATTGTGGTTCCGTATGTTGTCAGAGCTATAATTCGTCTCCTTTAATTTGATCAGATGGTATCTGAATACTGAAATGAATCACATAAATGTGTGATTCATTGTAACACTGGTTCTCAAGCTAGTTATACGAGTGTTAGTTTTAATGTTCTGTAGTCCTTGAATTTGGTTTTAACCACCTTACAACGTTTGGTTCCAGCCAAAGAAGACCATAATCTCTGTCATATGCTAAGTGTATAAACTTAAGTGCACTTAAACGATGGGAACTCGACCGATTCCATGTCGTTTAGCTTTGACCATCAACCAAGCACTTCTAATTTTTTTCCTTATTTACCTGGTCATACGACTTTCGCTAATCTTTTAAAGGATTTAGTGTCTCGTTTATATATTGAACGGTCAAATCATGGACGCGATACATTTCTTGTTACTTTTTATGCCATGTTAGAAAAACTCGTCGCCATAGTTTTCATGTCAAGAAGCATTTAAATATTATTCTGTACACCTGCCGATGTATATCCGAACAGTAATATTTCCTTTAATCTCATACAGTTCTCATCTACTTTTTAGCGATTTTTCTTGAGAGTGATATTTACTAAATAATTTTTGACCCCACGTGGGTTCGTGGGTATGCATTGCTGAGGGATCTCATGGAAGGACGAAACAGCTCCCAAGTGCTTCCAGCTTTTTGATGGTCCCGTAAACCGGGTGGGTTCTTGATCTTAATACCACTCAACAATCTCCTAAAGCCCCCGTACAAGTCAATTTTAGTTCGTTTGTGTAGCTAATAAAAAATTCCCCCAAATGCCCTGGTACGGTCGAGTGTGGGGAGAGTCCGCTCTCCCTCTCGAAATGCTCTCACATGGCCACATGTATACAGCCACTGCCAGGGAAGTCCTACTTGAGCATCTGGGCTACCTGTTCCTGCCATCTAAATATTTCAACAAGTTATCTACTTTTGTTTGTTTTAATATATCATTATGTTTATTAATCGCATAAACAAGTCTGCTGCGTCTCTGAAAAGTGTACAACCTTTCGTTGTCAAAGTTACAAAAAACTCAATACGAGACAATGTAGTTGCTGGCAATATACAACGAAAAGAATGCACATTATTCAGATGTTCATTTACTGAACTACTAACACCTAACTGGAGATCACTCAATACTTATCGCCAGGACCGACCAAGAAGAAAGAAACGGAAACTTGTTGAAATACTTTGTGCTGAGAATTCTATATTGTACCAAAAATATAATATTGAATAAAGCTGATAATAATAATAATAATAATAATAGTAATAATAATAATAATAATACTCACTGCCTTCTCGCGGTGGTGTTCACGCAATGGAGAGGACGAAAAGCGAATGTCCGGTGCTTTAATCGGGTTGGTGGACACTGAGGGTCTACCTAAAGGAGCTGGAAAACCCTGATTCCAAACCAATGGTGCACATGGGCTCCAGCATCCTGAGGGAACAAATGGCGTATGAACCAGCCATTGATCACTGCCTTGTGGATTAGACCTTTAGGTCGAAGGCTCCGGGTGTGATCCCCTAAGGAAACCACATGCTTCGGTCTGTGCCGCCGGGCAGTATCTCAGCCCACACACAAATCAAGTGACTTATGTGGCGTGTACGTATTCAGTGCTCTTTTGTACCAATATTTACGTGCTCAAATAAATAATAAATAAAAAAGTAACTCGCGGAAACATATAATTAGATGCTTTCTTGTTTCTTGTACCTGTATTTAAACAGTACTCATGAATACTGTGTTGAATAAATAAACCACAAACTCATAATTCCCTACTTGACATCAATTTTTAAGGACAACGACCCAGTTTTGGCTATTAGATTGCCGGAGATATTAGCTAGAGTCTGGGGTCTAGACCTAATCTCATCTAATTAGTCTCAATCTCTGATCATTTCAGTCTGTAATAGAGGGCAAAATCCTCTTTTGCTGATCACAGAGAAAACAGTTTGACTGACATTTCGTTTAAAATATGGACCTCAATAATTATCCAACACTTAATTAGGGCTCGTAAAATGTCTGCATCGATTCAAAGGGCTCGGTTGTATTTCATCAACTTGCATCACTTGTGGCGTAGACAAGATATCCGTCTGAAAACTACAGGACACGTTCACTGCGCAACAGCTTGCTTCGTTCTACTTTATGGATGTGAACCATAGACATTAGGAGGGGAGGATGTTCTTGGGTTACTACTATTCGACTATAGGTTTGTTGGAATTATTTCTCGTGTATTTTGCGACTATCGAGTCAGCAATTCTGAGGTTAGACGCAGAGTAATAGGTAAGTATGATGAATCCGTTAACGGGATAGTGAATCTTCATCGACTGAGATGGTCACAACATGTATTAGGTTTGCCCAACCATCGACTATCTCGATGGGTGACGTATGGTGTAGGAGTAGTCTAGAAGAAAACTATGGGTGGTTAAACCAAGATCTGGCTACAGCCCATGAGACCACTAACTGTCGGGTTAAACTATGTAAGTTTGTGAAGACTATTTGGCTGGGATCCTCTCCATGATGGTAACTGATAGTTGGAGAACCATTTACAATGACGCACGTGCATTTACTCCTAGTTCTTCCTTGGATCTCAAGTTTCTGAGTACCATAGAAACTTTTTATTCCAGTAATTCACTTCTATTCCCGAGTCGTATGTTCAACCCCCAATCTCTATTACCACTAATACTGCTACTATTTCTACTACTCGAAGAGTTCCCCTGAAAATTTCGTCTCGCTGTGCTATTGCTGCTGGTTGATTTTGAATAAAATCAGTGACTCACGAAAAATGTCCACACTCCTTTTTCTTGTAGCATCTAGCTCAAGCAGAACAGTCATTCGGAGCTTTTTGATTTCAATTATTGAGTCACGGACAAATATCTAACTTGCTTCATTTTCGTATCTTCGGCAATGCTCCACCTTGTCTTCGTCACGAACAATTTGAGCTTGTGAAATATCAAGACTTCACTACTAGCAGTCAGTCACAAACAATCTAGGAATAGTGTCAGTAGAAGTTATCACACTTCACTGCAGCATAGAAAAAGTAAAGTAACTAGATTGAAGGTCAGGTTGTGAAAATGGTAATACCACTAGTGGTGGTAAACTAGACATTGTGAATATGGTTCAAAACGGGAAATGAAATCACGAAATGCACAGTACAAAACAGTATTGCACTGTCAGTTTAGAGGGTGTTGAAATCTCAAACATCCAAAACTCCATTTTGAATGGAATACAATCTTCATCAATGTCTCTGAATTTCCGAATCATAATAGTATACTGTTTCTAATATATATATATATACTTTAGGCGTAAAACTTTTAAAATAGATCCTAGTTGTTGGCTGTCTGTTCACGGTCCTGGTGATTGATTTTATAAGAAACTGACATGCTTTCTACGTATCTATGATATTCATTTTCTCATCTTCCGATTACTAGAACTGTGGGATCTGAGTTTTATGGATAGGATTGTATTGGCCAGTAAATTCACTAAACAAGTTCTAGGCGATTCCATGTGCAACTGCATTTTTTGAGTTATTTTTTAAATGTCGTGCTAGTGAAGTGAAAATGGTGGTTTTTGCTTGTAATTGATTATAATGACCACCTGTTTCAACTTTATATCTATGGGATCATAATGAATTAGCGTCTGTCACTGCCAGATATTCCAGAGTATCGTAAGTAGTTAGAAGCAATCTTGGAGTACTTGTCTATGCTCTAAATCAACGATCGATCAGCACTCCTTTATTTTATTTAGGCAGTCGATAGTTCATTCATCCTTCATAACAAACATATTTTTGTTTATCTGATGTTATATGCTGACAGTTTACTGGAAAAGTTTTATTATAGACCCACAGATAGAGCTGATTCTCATTACCACCAACCTTTTATCGATTGGCGCCTGTCTGTGCCGGAAACATGCAAGATCTTATGAACACCTTGTATGAATATTAGCGATTGTTTGACATGAATTTTTAATGTGAAATACTTGGGGTAGTGAATCAGAACTGCCTGCTCGCACCGTTTTAGAAATAGAGCGGAGGATATAAGTTACTGAATGTACTCCAGGGGATCATCCATCTTGGAAAACTAGTGGTCATTCAAAATAATTTCGTTGTCGAAAACATACTGATCTAATGTGATTTGAAGTTTTGTTTTTAGCTACAAGTACATAAGGATATTCTAATTGATCAGTCTACATGATTTTTTTTTCTTTTTAGAATTACTTTACTAATTGTGATGTTTCAAATTCATTGCATAAATCCTCTTCAGAACATTGTTTTGGGTCTGTAGCATTTTTCGATGGACAACATATCTGTGATTTACAACGATTCAGAAGTTTTAGTGATTTTGGTAATAAATCATGGAAATCTCACTTTCGTCAACATTTGATTCATTGGTCGCCAATATCCAGAAAATCGCATGCCACGTGTTCTCAAAATTTTGAAATATCGGAAATCCATTCAGATGAGCTACAGGTGAATTATCGCTGCATTTTGTTTTTCTCAATTTCCTATACTTGCTATCGATCGACGTATTTTTATTCAAATATTGCAAAAAAATATTTATTTTCAACTTCACTCATTCATCTTCAGGGCATAACAAACTCTAGTATGTCCTTGAATAATTAGTTTGAAGGACAGGTATAAAATTATCCACTTGGTGTTTCCCACGTTTTTCATCTGTGTTGCAAGTAAGATATTCATCTGTTTGCCAAAGTAGAGACCCCGTGTATGTGATGAGTGTTTGACCATGGGTGTCTTCGAAGCACTTCTGGGATATTCATTTATTTGTATCAGAGAAAAACAGGGAACACCAAATCACTCAATGAAAATAAGAAAGATCAATATTAAAGGATGCATTTTGTGTGATAAGACAACCAAAATTTATTATATTCAATCAGAAGGTCCATCTTACCGAGCACAATCATCACGGTCCTAGTCATATCCCTTAATGTTCCAAGTATCTCAAGTGCTTGGTATCTAATACCCTATTCTGGGAATCATGGCAAATCAAAGGGTGATGCTTTAATACAACTATCCCTTTAAGTATATTGTCTCATAGCCTAGGTTGTCAACTGTTACGTCCTACAATCAACCAATACGCGTAGACGATCTTAAGTAACCAATACGCAACAAGCATTTGGGAGACTGATACTCTATGCCTGATGGTTGGCTCAATACTAATTAACCCCAAACGTAGAGGGACGCAAAAGCAATGCTCACCAGTCCAGGATCATTATTATATTTCAGACATTCATTTATATACGTACAAGACCAGACCATACAGTAGACCAATTGGGTAACAGCATAAACATGAAACAACGACATTAATGATGGGAAAACGGAATGCTCGGTAAGTGAGAGATGCTACAGCAACAAATTGCAGTCCAAACAAAAGCTTAGAATTAGGATAGTGAAAAATAAAATCAAAATATTTAGTAAAAACGCAATCAGTATGTGTAAATAAAACCGTAGCGAAATAGCTTCGAAAGTTTTTACCTTATAGTTAAATCATCCCTTACAACATATGCATAATCTGTCAGATTAAGTCGATGTTCATATGACGTAAATGTAAAACAAGTTTTTTATATATAAATTCTGCTCCACTCTCTTCTCATTAAAATCGATTACATTGTTTAGGTTTTTAGTACAACCTATCATATTTTTAAATATACTCTTAATTGCTTACTATTTAACATAATATTCAATCATAACAGACGTCTTACTCCAGTCGAGTTAATTCTCTTAGAACTGGCTATAAATTATGTCACCGTCAACGTCATAACTACAATCCACTTCCGAAAAATGGACCAACTTCTGACTTATCTGCTACTCATAGTTTAGCAATTGACAAATCAAAAACATCAGTAATTTTGAAGCCATCATATCGCAATCAGGAATGTCAGAATGTGGAAAAAATGCTTAGAAATACAGCTTCGTGTTTGGAAATTTCTTCTTTAAATAGAGATATTCAGGATTTGGTTTTGAACTCCTCTCCATGTAATCTGACTGATAGAAATGATTTAAAGTGAGTGCTTGTTTTATTTCTACGTGTTTATTTTAGCTAGTGTTGATTTATATGTGAATAATTTACACATACGGAAGTGTCTTTCGGAGTTTTCAGGTAATAAAGTAGGATTTTGATAAACATGACAGCGTGACGGATAATCGCTACACACGAATGAAGAGATGATCGTGTTCACCGGAACGTAATTAAATCGATGTCTGCTCACCTAAACATCAACAAGTTGCAATCTGCAACTAACGTTTCAGATGAACTTGTACCTTTCAGAAGAAAAGGTGGAACGGCTGTATAAATAAATATATATATATATATATATATATATATATATATATATTACGCTGATGGACTAAAACTGTAGGTTGCGAAGGGTAAAGCGACAAGAATTCGAGGCTAATAATTGCACGATAATCTTACGAATCGACAATAAGAAAATTTTGGAAAACAAATTAAAGGGTATTCTTGATATGTAACTACCCGCTTGATAAGCTTAGTATAGAAGTGTATATACGGTCGTCTAGTATTATTCACGCGTCTCATGAATGTTTATTTCATGTTATGATTTTCTACTGTATTTGCTAAGCAAAAAATCCTTTGTAGGAGACATTGTCCTGTTTTCTTCAACAAGTTGTGTAATAACCATGTTTGAAATTCGTTTAACAGTACATAACACTTTATTAGGTCACTAACCGATTCCCTGATTTGGTTTTCCCTCATTCATCTTCCAGGCGAAATACTTCGACGGAAAATATATTGTCTCCAGTTGAAAAAGCCAGATTGAGCCTGTTCCGTCATTCACCGTTATCCCACTGTTTAGATATAAGTGGTACGTTTATCTTTTCGTTTATTTGGTCTATTACATCTTTTTTACTATTAGTTTTCTGTGTGTACAATCACGAAATTTTTTCGGTTGTAAAAAAATATGAATTATCTTAGTTTGTAAGCATATAGTAGTGAAAATGTGATTATTCTCCATAACCGTTAAATTATATTGTTGTATGACATAAAGTGATCATGTGTAAATATTTGTTTTGTGTTTAATCACTGTTGAGTTCCGTTTAAAGAAAAAATGAGTTTTGGCTATTCGACGTAATCACTGAATGTCGTAAGTTCTAGGATGACGTTCGTAAACCATGACCAATTCAACATTGTCGGTGTTTGAAGATGGTGATACACCTTAGTATTACCAACAGTATCGTCACTGTATGTTAGGAATTCTTTGGAGACAATGATGACCAAACATAGAGGCATTGAACATCATCAAATTGACGAGACCAAGTTTTGAAAGCATAGGGGAAAATTACCCTCACTGATCCGTCATAAACCCGACCATTTACAACCAAACTGACATCATAACGACTCTAAAGATGGCTCGTATTGGCTTTCATTATACGTAAATTAACTTCATTTGTTATACCACCACCAGCACTCACACAGCTATCTGTATAAACAAACTTTCCAACTGCTTCTAACGGTTCACTACAAATGAGAAAGTGCGGACACAAGTTTCTGTCAGTCTTGGAGAAGTGCTTTACATTTCGAAGGCTTAGAATACGTGCTACGGTTACGGTTTCTGATTTGGTGCAGTTTAGATTGCTTATGTCTCATTTCACTAGAAGACTATGTCATTTGAATACTAAGGATCGAAAGGTCTTTCTACAAGTGATTGATACATACCACTACCACTTCCAGTCTTTGGAACTGTTTCTAGAGTATCAGTAGTCTTCTGTTAGGGGCAAAAGTTCATTATTTGCTAGGAATAAGTTTATAGGCTGATTCTTTGCATTAAAAAGACAAATATGTTTAAATGATTAAAAACTAAAATGATATTATAATTAAGTTATTTGCATTCTTCGCGGTCAGAGTAGTCTGTAATAGAGCTGCTTTTCGTTTTTTTTCGTTCATTTCAAGTCAGTCATGCATGATAGTATTGGCAAGTGCGTTTTGTGAGCAAACAAATCGTACGCTATATGTACTTTATATCACAGAAGCATGTAAACTGACAAATGCATGTTAGCTTGTCTTAAACTTATTGATGAATGAATTTCAGACAGGCGAACACAGTTCTCAAAAGTTTATTGTGGATATTCCTTCGTCGTCCGCGCTTTCAGATTTCGACCTACGAATATTGATGAGTATTCACTCTTAAAAGTTATATAATTTTTAACATTTCTCACCTTTATTTCATTTTCTTTAGGCGATTATTTATTAAATGATATTGATCTCTCGAATCCATCTATGGATGACTGTATAACTTCTCCAGTGTTACTTAATACACCTTTAAAATTTCCTCATCATTCTCCTGCTTCTATAGTTAAAGTGAGTATCTTTCGTTTATTTAGTTTGGCTCGAATTTCGATAAGAATGTATTGTGGTTCGGTTGAGGTTAGGCATTAACACCGTTGGATGCCGGCTCAGAGCCCTAGAGGTTAAGCCTTTGAGCGTGAGAATGAAGGTTTCTCGTTCCAATCCCGTGTGCGGGATCGTGAATGCACAGTACTGAAGAGTCCTACACTAGGACTAAATGGCCGTCCAGTGATTCCAGGTTCTCATTTGTAGTCTGACATTGATTGGTTCGTGATCTCAATTAAAGCTCCACATTGTTTCCTGTTTTGCATTTTGAAAATTTAATTTAAGCAAAGTATGAATGACAATGTTTGCAAAATATAATGAGCTGGTTGTATTTCCAGCCTTCTCTTCAATGGCATATGTGAACTAATAAATTTAGTTCTTTCAAGATAGTAGCATCAAATTATTAATGACGGAATTTTCCCCCAAATATCACTAAAATTGCAATGAAAATCTAAGTGATTCTTTATGTAGTCTTTGTGATAGTCCCATAATATTGTTGCGTAATGTATCGAAAGATTTATTTAAACTATGAGAATAAGTGGATTGTAAATTGTTAAGTGGTTGCTTTAACTTTCTGTAAAATAAAAATTGGTTCCTTGTTATCATCCCTTCGTTATCTGGGGAATTGAAAGCTAAACATATACTATTTCCGAATTATCAGGTTATAGCCTTGTAATTACTATGACCTAAGAAAATTTCACTAAAGCAAAGTTATACTGCCCATTGATTGTTCCTAATGTGCACATTGTATTCATCTTGTGTTCCATGTCCAACTAAAGATTGGTTCGTTAAATTTGTGGAGAGGTTGGTTTCCAACTACCTCAGTTCAACTTAAATTGTTTTTTTCATCACTAGCATTCAAAATTCCCGAAAATTACTTTCTACACGTGATTCATACACTTAATGAATCAAATCATTCCTCAATTCATCACTTTGTAAAAGTTTTTACGTCATCTGTAGGGTCATAGAGTAGGTTGTTTTAAAGTAAAAAAAAGGTTGATATTTTTAGAGAATTAAGGCAAATTAGTTATCTTTATAGTTGTGGTTTCCAGTCATTGGGGTAACATCTATAATCTGTATTTTGGATGATTTGTATTTTGTGTACTATTGCAGCAGTAGACGACCATGATGGTTGTCGTTCGTTACATTTTTAGTGTTCTGAAATACCATGAAAGTCAAACCATTTCCAAAAGTTCTCCTGCATCTGTTTATAATTTATAAAAATTATCTACATTTACTTTTGTGTCAATCCGTACATTCCCTCTATAATATATGGGTTATTATCTAAGTTCATAATCTCTAGTGGATAAAGGGTTGGTCAGTCAGTCAGTCAGTCAGCTACAACGTAGGACCAGGCACATATGTGCATCGGTCCAGGTCGCCATACCTCATTAGCACAGCAAGATGAACACCGGATTCATAGGAGTGGTTAGGTCAAAGGTGGTAGTATATAGGAGAAAGATTGCATATAAGAATATAGTATAGGAAGAAAGAATTAGTTAGTAGAAAGAAAGATATGAAGTGATTTTAATCTCTTAGTTTAAGCGAAGACAGAGAGTGTATACACCGACGCCATTGTGATCGATTCTGAGCCATGTCACCAAGAGTCTCCAACCATTGGTTACGATAGTCACGCGGACCCCAACCAAGTAGTCTGCATTTACCAACATGGCTCAGACCAGAAGTTAGTGACTTCAGGCACTGATGCCACGTTTTGGTTTGGCCGCCCCTAACTTTCTTCCAACCATCCCTTACACCGGTTAGCATTGCACGTCGTGGTAATCGGTGTTCAGGCATACGTAGTACGTGGCCCAACCATCTCAGTCGATGAAGATTCATAACCTCATCAACTGATTTACCATCATTCCCTAATACCCTGCGCCTAACCTCACAATTACTTACCCGGTGATCCCAGCAGATGCCAGCAATATTTCTAAGGCATCTGTGGTCAAATACTAGTAGCTTATGGGTGTCTTCTACTCTTAAGGGGCATGTTTCGCTGCCGTAAATTAAAACAGAACGAACTGCCGCGCAGTATACTCGTCCTTTTATTGATAGACGGATATCTCGCCTCCGCCAAAGGTGACGTAAGTTGGCAAAAGCCAAGCGAGCTTTTCGAGTCCGTGCTGAGATTTCGTCAGACACCAACCCATTAGGGCTGATCAGACTTCCAAGATAAGTGAAGTTGTCAACGCGTTCGACTACTTCACTCCCTATCCTTAGTTCGGGTGTTGACGCAGACCAGTCCTGAAGCAACAACTTGCATTTAGAGGGAGAGAAGCGCATCCCAAACATTCTGGCATTGTTGCTTAGTGCTAACAGAAGACTCTGCATTTTGTCAGCGTTTTCACCAAACAGGACTATGTCATCTGCGTATTCCAAGTCGATAAGTGGACCTCCTGGAAGGAGATCAATACCCGAGAATTCAGTCGACGAGAGTGTTATTTCCATCAATAGGTCTATGATGAAGTTAAACAAGAATGGAGAAAGTGGGCAGCCTTGACGGACACCACTTGAGGTTGCAAAAGCAGATGACAGTTCGCCATAAGCCCTGACTCGACTAGTAGTGTTCGAGTAAAGAGCCTTCACAAGGTTTATGTACTTCTGAGGTACGCCTTTCAATGACAGACACTGCCACAGAGTCTCGCGGTCTACAGAGTCAAATGCTGCTTTTAAGTCAAGAAAGACCACCATCATCGGACGCCGATAAGTATGCCTGGGTTCTAGAACCTGACGAATGGTGAATATGTGGTCGATGCAGCCACGACTAGGTCTAAAGCCAGCTTGGTTCTCTCGAGTTTGTAGTTCACGAGTCTAAGTTAGGCGTTTGATAATTATCGAGGCCAGTATTTTAGATACTATGTTTGTTAAACTAATCCCTCTGTGGTTGTCACAGGATGATTTTGACCCTTTCTTATATATTGGGACGATAAGTGATTGCGACCAGTCAGATGGGATAAAGTCTAATTCCCAGATCTTAGCTAAAATATTAGTCAACCTAATCGATAAAATTGGACCACCATCCTTAAAGACCTCTGGAGCTAATCCATCTGGACCAGCTGCCCTTCCTCGTTACAGATTAGCTATAGCCTTTTGAACTTCAGCAAGAGTTGGGGGACCTACTTCAATGTTCCATTCACACTGTCTGGGAATGGAGGGTAGTTGTAGAGAAGCTGAAGGCCAGCTGAACTGTTCTCTGAAATGTTCCACCCATCGTTCTAAACGTCTGAACTGGGAGCAGATGAGAGTGTCGTCTTTTTCCGAAATAGTCTGACTTACATTTGACTTATTAATTGCAGTTTCTTTTATTAGTCTGTAGAGCTCTCTTGTGTTCCCTATAGCCGTCGCCTTTTCCATCTTTTTTTTGCTTTCGATGCCCACTACTGCTAACGGTCGTACCTTAGACTTTTTCTTAACCTAGATCTGATTCGTTGTCGCTCTTCATCATGTTCAGAACCTGATGGGACGAGTTTGCGAGAATCCATCAGTGTGATGGACTTGGAAGAAATCCACTGGTTCTTTGTAACTCTGTGGTTTAAGTCACTAATAGATTTCATTGCTATTTCCACAGCTGTTTGTATATCTTTCCAAGCAACATCTGGGTCAACCTCGTTTTCAGAACTACCTAATTGTGACCTCAGTTGTTCCTGAAACCTACTTTTGGTTTTCTCGCTACTCAATTCAGTTCTAATGGGTCTTTTTACTGTGGCTTTTTTGCGTCCAGTGAGGCGCAAGCAGATGCGTGCCCGTATTAGGGCGTGGTCGTAGTCCAAGCAGGTACTCTAGAATGAGTGACAATCTTCTACCGACCCTCTCCAACGATGACTGATGGCAATATGGTCTATTTGAGTCCATCGTTGGTTTGGTGTAGGGATCGCCATGTTAGACGATGTCTCTCCTTATGCTTAAAATTTGTATTTGCTAAAAATAAACTATTGTCTGAGCACAGTTGCAGCAGACGATCACCATTGTGTGTTTGTTGTGCCGGAATACTGAAATACCCACCTAAATGCCTTTCTGTTTGGTTTAAACTACCTATCTGGGCATTAAAGTCACCCGCTACGAGTACCATGTCTGAACGTTTAACCTTCTGAAGAAGTTCAGAAAGCTTTCTGTAAAATTCATCTTTCACTTCATCTGAGCTGCTGTCAGTGGGAGCGTAGGCAGAAACGACAAAAAGGCAACGACCTGTTGGTTAGTTTACGTATTGAAGATGTTGACAATTCATCAACATAAACGACGAACAAACAATGAACACCTTCTTTGAAGACTAAATCGGGATGGATTTTACATAACTCTTAAAGGTAATATAAATGAAGTAATACTAAGTTGATAGAACACATATTAAGTTGTTTAATTACTATTTCAGGTTGTTTTAGTCCATCTTTTTTATTGTACTGTGAAGTAGTTTAACGAATTTTTTTGGGATCTTAACTATTATGTATTGATCACTTACCAGGAAGGCATATTCCAATGTTATGTTTTTGATCGGTAATTTTGTTATTTGTTTGAAACCATTTTTGTTATCTGATTTAATAAAATTAAAACTTTGTTTTAGAAAAGTAGCAAACATTTAACTCGGAATTTCCACCCAATCGAATCAGAAAGTAATCTTCCTGCTCAAACATTGCTTTATTCTAGTCCTTTATGTTCCATGCATATAAATTCAACTTGTAAACGTCAGCGGTTCGACAAGAAACTGATCACTTCGTTGAATAGTACACCAGCAATTAATCCACTTCAAGTTACTACAGAATCACTTGAAAATATATCAAATCTGGAGAGCTTATCTAGTCACTTGTTAGGTACTCCGGAATATTTGGCACCAGAATTATTACTTCATCCTAATTCCAAAAGTGCATGCGATAGTCCAGCTGTCGATTGGTGGGCTTTAGGTGTTATATTATTTGAAATGTTAGTTGGTGTAACTCCATTTGCAGATGAAACTGTAGAAAATGTGTTTCACAATATTCTAAGTTTAGGTATGTTTCAGCAGTGGTTTTGATTAGCAGGTTTTTATTTCTTATTTTTGTGCAAAAATCCTTAGTATTTTGTTTAATAATAAATAAAGTTGTGAAGTATTTGTTAATTTAGTGGCCTTCGAGTCATATAAGTGATACTATCCGGCTGCCCGAACCAGACTTAGTGGAACAGGTTTTAACCTGTAACTGTATTGGTCAAAACCCGATTGCATCGACCGATAGGCCGCCACTGCAGTACGTAGATACAGTTTTGACTGAATTGGTTTGATATGTGCTAAATAAATTAGGATGTTGAACATGTTATATCTCCATGAATGTCCTATAAATTTCCGTTATTAGCGATAAGGTTCATTCTGATCATTTTCCTACACCAATTTTTTAATAGCATATGCGATGGTCAAATAATTTTTGATATTTAGCTTTAAGAATTGATTACTCGAGTCTCTATAGTTGTCAGTCAGTCAGTCAGTCAGCTACAACGTAGGACGAGGCACATATATGCATCGGTCCAGGTTGCCATACCTCATTAGCACAGCAAGATGAACACCGGACTCGTAGGAGTGGTTAGGTCAAAGGTGGTAATATATAGGAGAAAGATTGCATATAAGAATATAGTATAGGAAGAAAGAATTAGTTAGTAGAAAGAAAGATATGAAGTGATTTTAATCTCTTAGTTTAAGCGAAGACAGGGAGTGTATACACCGACGCCATTGTGATCGATTCTGAGCCATGTCACCAAGAGTCTCCAACCATTGGTTACGATAGTCACGCGGACCCCAACCAAGTAGTCTGCATTTACCAACATGGCTCAGACCAGAAGTTAGTGACTTCAGGGACTGATGTCATGTTTTGGTTTGACCGCCCCTTACTTTCTTCCATCCATCTCCAACACTAGTCAGCATTGTGCGTCGAAGTAATCGGTGTTCGGGCTTACGTAACACGTGGCCCAACCATCTCAGTCGATGAAGATTCATAACCTCATCAACTGATTTACCATCATTTCCTAATACCCTGCGTCTAACCTCACAATTACTTACCCGGCGATCCCAGCAGACGCCAGCAATATTTCTAAGGCATCTGTGGTCGCTATAGTTGACCAGATAGTTACTGTACAATACGCATTACATTTAATCATATGATATAAGTGATTAATGTCAGATTCTACTACCATCAAAACTGAAGAATTAAAGGAACCAATTCTCAAAGAATAGAGATTTAGAATTTAATTATATACAGTAAACGACACTTCGTTATTGTTCCTCATCAGGATAAATATACTTCCATGAAATCAGTCGGTCAGTAACAACGTAGAAGTTTGTGCGTACGTACATCAGTTCGAGTTGCCACACCACATTAGCACAGAGATGCAGCTGTCCATTCAAATCCCGTAGTGGTAGGGGTGGTAACAGTATAAGCAGTAATCGGAAAGATTAGGGTTTAAAGATGTTATTCAAGGAGTATAATCCAGTGAAATAAATTTGGAAAGATAAAAAAGGGCCATGAAGAATTCAGAAGACTAGAATTTGGGAGAACACAAAGAGTGGATGCACCTGTGCCATCGTAAACCATTTTGAGCCATGTCATTCAAGGTCTCTAACCACCATCGGTTGCTATCATCTCGCGGTCCCCAACCAGGTAGTCTACACCTACCAACATGGCTCAGTCCACTTGTCAGTGACTTCATGGACCTATGCCATGTTTTGGTCTTGCCGCTCCTAGCTTTCTTTCAACCTACTCCTATACCATTGAACATCGCACGTCGAGGCAGTCGGTGGTCGGACATACGTAACACGTGTCCCAGCCATCTCAACTGATGAAGTTTCACTCCGTCATCAATTGATTTGCCATCCTTACCTAGTACCCGTTTCCTAACAACTGTGTTACTTACTCGATGGTCCCAGGATATACGAGCAATGTTTCGATGACACCTATGATCAAATACTAGTGACCTATGAATATCCTCTGTCTTACTGGCCATGTTTCAATGTCATAAAGTAGGACGGGACGAACTGCTGAGCAGTAAACGCGTCCTTTGGTTGATAGACGGATATCTCGCCTACGCCATAAATGACGCAAGTTGGCAAAAGCTAGTCGAGTCTTCTGTATCCGTGCTGAGATTTCGTCACACACCAGACCACAAGGGCTGATGAGACTTCCAAGATAAGTGAAGCGGTCGACACGCTCAACTACTTCACTCCCTATCATTAGTTCAAGTGTCGATGCAACCCAATCCTGAAGTAACATTTTGCATGTCGAGGGAGAGAATCGCATGCCGAACATGCTTGCATTGTTGCTTATAGTGGTCAGAAGACTGTGTATTTCGTCAGCGTCTTCACCAAATAGAACTATGTCATCGGTATATTGTAGGTCAAAAGTGAATCTCCCAGTAGAAGTTCAACCCCTGGAAATTTAGATGAGTAGAGTGTTATCTGTAAAAGCACGTCAACGACAAAGTTAAACAAGAATGGATAGAGTGGACAGCCCTGACGAACACCACTTGAGGTAATCAATTCTGATGACAGTTCGCCATAAGCTCTCACTCTACCAGTTGTGTTCGAGTAGAGAGCCTTTATAAGGTTAATGTACTTCTTTGGTACTCCTTTCAGTGACAAACACTGCCATAGAACCTCACGATCAATAGAGTCGAATGCCGCCTTAAGGTCGAGAAATACTACGATTGTGGGGCGTCCGAATATGTGTCTGTGTTCTAGAACCTGACGTAGTGTGAATATCTGGTCTATACAATCACGTCCACGTCGAAAACCACCCTGATTTTCTGTAGTCTGTTATTCACGAGCTTTAGTTAGGCGTCGAAGTATTATTGAAGCTAATATTTTAGACACTATATTTGTCAAACTGATTCCTCTGTGATTGTCACAAGAGAATTTTTTTCCTTTCTTATAGACTGGCAGAATCAGTGATTGAGACCAGTCAGATGGGATTACTTCCACTTCCCAAATTCTACCTAAGACCTCAGTTAATCTCACTGCTAATACTGGACCATCACCCTTAAAATTCTCAGGGGTGAACCTGTCAGGGCCTGCTGCTCTCCCTCGCTCCAGATTTCCTATAGCTTTTTCAACTTCGTAAAGAGTCGAAGGACCTACATCAACTTGCCATTCAGGTTGACTGGAGATCGTGGGAAACCGAAGTGTGGCTGGAGGCCAGTTGAACTGATCCCTAAAGTGTTCTGCCCTTCGATCCAATCTCCTGGATTGAGAATGCTATACCTAACAGCTACGGTCGGGACTTCCATGAAATAAATATGACTAATATCATTTATTACTGGACTGTATTTAATAATCTTACTAAAATTGATGAATAATTCTATTATATTGTGTGTGAGATTGTCAGATCGGGTGAATGATGAAATGAGTAGAAGAAACTATCATTCACTACAATATCGAAATAAGAAGTGAGTAGAATTTCACCACTACAAATAATCATAAATTTACTGTCGGTTATCTACAATTAGCATCTTTCACCAGTTTACTGTCCGTATTATGGTGTTGTTTTGTCCTTTTCCAAGTTATCGCGTCTAACTATTGAGGATTAAAGTGGTTTCTTTCTACATTCGGTAGGACTATCGATTAGTAGATCGTGTAAAGGCGTAATTTAATAACCTAGGCACTTAACTTTCAGTTGTTAAGCTGTATGCTCGCACTCTACCCTACTTATCTTTGTTTTGATAGCTACAAGTGTCAATAGTCCCCACAGAAAACGTGTAACCGAAAGCTAAATATATCAATCCAATTACTAAGTTGTTTTTGAAGCATTAAGTGTTTTGGTCTATTTACGGAAGTAGTGATATCCTGCATGTTGCTTGCGTCCGTGTGCCAATATTTCTAGTCTTTTTAATATTGTTTTTCACTGTTGTCAATTTTATGGTTTGTTCACAGATATACACTGGCCTGTTGCTACTACATGTGGATCATCTTTTAACATAAATGAATCACCACAAAAAAACTGTGAACTTTCACGAGCAGCTGTAAACTTAATTAGTGGCCTCTTATCCTATAATCAAACAGACAGACTTCAAGTTGCAAGTCAAATAAAGTCAAGTGATTTGTTAATACCTGTTGGTGATTGGAATAATTTACATGATTTAGAAATGCCTTTCATTCCTGATCCTGATAATTCAACAGATACATTTTATTTTGATGTAAGTAAACTAACTATTTGTGACTGCGTAATTTAGCTGAATGTGCGTTATTGTATTATCTGAATATGAACTTAAGCCTGATAACAGACATCTTAGTCAAATGCTTAATAGTTTTCTTAAATTATTCGTTAAAATACACCAACTCACTCAGGAATATTAAGATTTACAGGATAAGCGAAGCGATAAGTACATTCAACCACTTTACTTCTTGTCATTAGTTTAAACTTCGACGCCAACCAGTCGTGGAGCAGAAGTCATTTAGAGGGCAGAAAACATGTCCCAAACATACTAGCCTTGTTGCTTAAAACGTTTTAGAAGACTTTGCCATACAATTAGTTTACTATTTGGATATTCTAAACCAACAAGTGAAACACGTAAGTATACAGAAAAACTCGGTTGAAATTTCCGTCAGATTCTGTGCTTCCTCCTAAGATTTTAGTACAATAATGACTTGATGTATGGGACATCATTTCTAGTCTAGTGTTCAGCTACTTATTCGCCGGCTCATCAATGTTGAAGTTTGTATAATATTACTGGTTATTTTTGTACTACATAACTATTACTTATATGAAACTTTATGAAATCTATTATGCATTATAGTTCATTACTTTGCGTCGCCTTTATTGAAGACACAACTAAATTAACGTACTTTCATCCTTACAGACGTAGTGCATAACCTAAAGTATTTAATGCATGTATTTGATTACTTAAGTTTATTGTACCCATAACAAAATCCCCTATTGTAATAATGTAACAGTCGCTTTCGTGAGTGAATTAATAAAATGTTTATTCATTCACACTCATTTAGATTCGTAATCGGTACAATCAATATAGCGAAGCGGATCTATGTGCAAATGTGAAATGACGAAGTCTATGACTTAATTAATTAATTTTCGCTGTACAGGTACTATTATTGATACACATATTTGTACTTGTGAATAAATGTTTATTTATCAGCTTCTTTAACATGCGTAATTTTTCCGTTTCCATATCTTAAAAAATCGTTTTTAATTATGTCATATGTATAACAGTAAGTTAGCGTAGCTCATGTAATGCTTTAATTTATAATTGTATTACAAATTGAGTGTCTATTAAAAATAAATTATTTCTTTCGCTTTTATTTTTGTAGATGAGTAGGTGTTACAGATAGTGTCATTTAAAACTGCTTTTTAAGTACGAAGCACGTATTTTAGAGTGCGTTTCATAAGCTTAAAATAACTACACTTGCGTTCGCATTGCCTTATTTTCTGTTTCTGTAAACATTTAAATCTAACCCTTGATGAATATACACCTTCATTAAGTTTATTTGTCCATTGAATATTGACTTAGTTCATTCCTGTTTTAAGTGGTTCGCTATTGTGTTCCTCTTTACTTTCATTAGTTGTTTGGAATACGCTGTTCTACTAACATTTGTAATCGGCTCTTAATTTTACTCTACCTGACATAAAATAAACCAATTGAATTTAATTCTCTGGGAATTGCGGGATAACATAGAACGACGGTATCTGGATTCAGGTCGAAATTAGGACTTACCTCAACAGTGTTCAACCTCTTACAACCACGCTTATGTTTATATTGGCGGGATCAACTAATCTTATGTTTACAGTGAGATTAATCTCATCCATCTCTTGAAATTCTAATCTTTACGCTTGCTTACGAGAGCCTTTATGATTATATCTCTACGTTTAGTAAGGGACAAGAAGACGCGATGGGACGTGTTTGGTATCTAACGATGTATTCTTACGTTAACATGCATAATTGAAGAATAAATAACTGTGTCTGAGCACCCAATTTTTGGAGGTTATAATGCTTTCAATAGACTATCTTCCGCTTCACTTGGTTTGTTGTCTTCCCAATAGTTGCTATGACATAAGTTCCTATATTGTCACTTAGGGTGTAAGTTTTTACATACCCAATGTCATCAGATCGATCTTCAAGTGACAAATGTCCACACACTTCCCTCAAATGTACTTATAGAATGTCATCAGTAAGATATAAAAGTATATTTTGTAAATTGACCTAACTACACTGTTATTTTGGTACATTGTATAAAAATCACAGTATATCCCCCTATTCTATCTGGAGTATCTTTACTTAATGGTTTAGAAACGGTAACGGTTTTCATGGCGTCTTATCTGCCAAAAACACTTGACACCATCGAGTTTTATGTACAACAGATCTTTTATCGTTAGTGCGGTTACCTGAGGTAATCTGCTTTTTTAAGTTGCTGTTTTTTAAAAACAGTTCATCTGCACTTCGTTCCAGTTGAGATTGGTATCTCAACAACATCGTTAACTGTAAAGGCTCCATCTTATTTCGGAATAGTGGCTTCATGATTGTGCATCCTTACCTCTTGGTTAAATATTCTCACACTTCATTTCCTTACTTGTGAAAATGTATCTTCCAATAATATAAAAGGCTAAATCACTGGTTAGTACAGCTATTAGTTTGATATAAAAAGTCAGTAATTTCTGGTTGAGTTGCATTTTTTCCAATAACAACTTCACAGACTAGTTGTTTTTTCAAGAATTAATTAGCAAAGATATTTTGCTATTGAAAATAGTTTAACATCTATCAAAACAGTGCAGTTATGTTTCATACAATTCCTCCCTTTTACTGGTCTTATTAAAGAATAAATAACTGTCGTAGCAGAATTGTGGCTTCTTTTTTATACAGGAATTATTTTTACATAAATTATTCACAAATGCTAATTAGAAAATATCCTTGTGAATATGTTGAGAAAATTCCTACATCACTGTATATATCTAGATAGGTAATTATATATATTCAACAGATTCTTCATCTAAAAACGGTGGATTTAAAAACTCCAATTCTATTAGATCATTTGTAGGCTGAGAAAATATTTTGTAGTTATTATGAACATTTTCATAGTCGATACTTAGTTGTTCAATTAGTTGATTGAACGCTTGTGACATAACGTCACGAAATAATGCAGCTTGTTCTTTTAATTTTTGTTCTAATGTGCTGATTTTCGAATCTTTTTCTGCCTTACAATTTAGGAATTCTTGACGTAAATTTTTCAGTTCATTATTTCTTATCTCAATTAACTTATTGGCCTCATCTAGTTTTGTGGTTAATTTTTCTATTTCATCTCGAAGATTGGTTACTTTTATTTCGTTTTCTGTGATTAGGAAAGCAGTATGGTTTTGTGTTGACTTTTTCAATTCATTATAATTTCTTACAGACTCCAATTTCTCAGTATATGCTTGATAGCGACGATTTTCTGCATTTTCTGCAATAAATATTTTTCTGCTTACTTCTTCCCGCAAGTTTTTTACGTCTTCCTGTGTTTTTTCTAATACCTCATTCACAGGGTCCTTTGCTTTAGTTTTCTTTCCTTTAATTTTACGTTTACCACTAACGGATTTTGACATTATTCAGAGCTAATTTTAGTTCAAAACAAATCGTTTTCTGGAGAAATCCTACAATAAACATGTAAATTTTAATAAAAGAAGTTAAGAACAAGGAGATTTATGGTTCACTTTATATGTCTACTTTGTAACAAACATTACAGTTCTCAGACTTAATAAAAATCAATGTATATATTGTATATATTATTCCGGGTTTTAGCAATGAACATTTTCCATACTATACGAGGTCAAAATTGCATTTCTTTTTACATTACATTACATTCCTTACTAATTAGTATATAATCTAGTGATTGGCACGAATAAACTTGTTTAGAGCCTAGTACTAACACTACATTATGTTATCATATGGCACTCACACAAATTTCAGCTTGGTTGCGTTTAAACTTTACGGCAGTTGGTATTTTCATATTGCATCAGTATTTTGTGTAAATATAAGCCAATTATCATTGGTAAGCTAGTAAAGTTTGCTTGTGTTTGGCTTCCTATGCAGTTTTTCTTCACTGCAGTACGTTTCCCTCGTTGTGCATGGTGGAATTAGTATCGATTTACCAACAGAATCAAGAAAATTAGAGTAATAACAATATCATTCTATAGAATAATTCTGATGTTGTAATCTCGAATTAGTTCATTCTATAACTACTCTCACTCTCTGTACATTAAGACGAGCACCATTTTTGATAATTACGCGCAACACTTGCGAAAATACTCGTCTGTTCAGATGTGAATAAAAGGAGCGAGAGTCGAAGCAGTCTCATTATTGACCATTAACTTGTCGAAATTAACTTCAAAAAGAGCTCATCCGCATCTTAACTCTTTACGCGTTTTAACAATAACAGTCAGTGTTTTGAAGAGCCGACCTTAATAACCTGCAATTTGTTATCAATATTTTGCAGACGACTAATATTCTTTCTGTGGAAGTTTGCAGATAGGCGGTTGTTTGATTTGGACCTGTTACAAAATAACAGCTATGCGGCTTTAAACGTCGATTCTCGAATGAGATATCATATTAAACTGTATTTATCGCCCATACATAGTTGAGGATTACAGAGTCTAGTGTGATTAATAATATTCCATTCAGTTGTCGAAAATAAGGTTGTGGTAGTTTAGTAAATCACCTCAATACGATGTTTTAATAGAACAGATGATGACAAGTTCAAAGTATTTTGTGAAAATATTTGCATCAATTAAACAGGTTTTCATTATTATGCTATCAGTATTCTAATTGACTTTAATAGTTTGAGTCGATGTGGCTACTTTAAGGAAGGAATTTTACTTATCTCGTTAGAGTGTCAATATAGTAACTGGTTATAGCTTTGAAAACCTTGCAAATATTCGGCGAAGATTGTATCAGAGACTGAAAAACTTATCTATGAAACATAATAACACCAACCACTGGTTAGGAGGGATATGTAAAAATCAAGTAAGAACAGCTGCAAATGATGACCGACTGTCTGTTGTTATACCAAACAGATGCAGTGGCCCATTCTACTATATAGAAAGTAGATATAAGGGCAGTCAGTCATTCGTCCTCAGATGAAAACTGTAAATTTGACTTGAAAGCATTAAGTCACTTCCAGAAGTTTTACAACCATGTGACTCGGCTATTTATACCTCGAATAGTTTTATAGAAGAAAAACATTGGTGGTTCATGGATAAACCGATAGATTCTGTCGACACAAACCAGTTACATATTTCAAGAAGTGCAGTTTCTTCAAGAGTTAACATCAACTGGACATTACTTATCACAATACAATACACAAATTACCTTGACCAATTATAGATGCTACTTTCATCTACTGCTTATCGGGGGTCAAATGCGTAGGCCTATTGGCATTCATGACTGACCTGATCACGAGATCAGGGAAGGCAGGCGTAGGATGTACCTCAAGGTGAAGTATATTTTTCTATCTACTCACTGGGACCATCGGGTTCGCGTTGCAAGAGATACCCTTCATGAAACGATATTACCAACAAGCGAGACATTTTACCGAATGTTGGTAGTCCCCTTCATCAAAGGCCCAAGTATTTATCGTCATGAAGGGTAACGAATTTCGTGTCACATGTTTACTCCGATGTCCGTTTAATCAGGTTCTTGAGCACTAGATAATGAGGTGTTTCTTCTGATCAAATCACTACCGAAGTTTTATGGTGTTTTATTTTCTTCTCGTGAACTGGTTTGGATCGGTTGACTTTGTTTTATCATTTGTAGATAGATGTAGTGCCAGATATTTTATTCCACACAACACTTGCAGAGGTCTACAAAGGCTTTCCGAAAGAATTATTGTACACTCTGCTTGACATCCCATGGCTACGTCTTGTAATTTGTGCTAAATACTCGATACGACATTAGAATAGTTGTCGGCAGTAGAAACTCATATCATTTGCATACTCCTAAAGCAACCTGCCATAGTGCAACTTCATACAAAGATGTTCGATAACAGATATAGCACCGTACCGTTTCTTGTTTGTAATGACTTGTTACACAATTGCTGAGGCAATATCAGGTTTGTTTACTAGTAAAGACAACTCTGTGGACAATAATTAGATCCTTACTGTTTTAATCCTTAGTATTATTTAGTTTCTGCCTATTTTCAGCGACTAAGTAATATCTTGGCTTTAAGAATAATTTAATAGAATTATAAGATAAACTGATCTAACCTTATGTGATAAATGTTCACTATCGTGCATGTATATATGTGGATTAAGATTGAGCAAAGTATAATCAAAATTGTATCGTGCTCTGTACTTTTCAATCTTAAAATGTCACAGTTTTGCATCAGTATATTCATACATTGGGAAACGAAGTGACTAAGCCGAGGTCACAAACATACATGTAACTCTTACGCACGTGCGTTTCTTTTTCAAAATCAACAGTCAGAGTTTGTAACATCCACAATACAGTATGTTTTCAGGGGATTCGTATGCCTCAGTTGTTGTAATAACAGACTGAAAAAGCAAATCTGCAAACCCATGGGTTTCTATCCATGCATGGATAGAAAATTGACAAGAAACGTAGAGGTGACAACTAATAAATCATTATATTGCTTTCAACTAATCAAGAAGAGCTCGCGACAAAACTTATCGAATCGTGAGATTAAGCGTAAGAATTGGGATAGTTTGTAAGCTTACATTTAAGTATCTGCGTCTAGTCACCACGACAATATCGCAAGCTTTTCAATATCCAATATATTCGAACGAGCTCCTATAAGCTGATTTCGTTTTGCTCACTTCTTCCCATTTCGGTGCAGTTTAACGTATAAGGTTATCTTTAATGTGCATAGATTAAATATTCAATTCCACCAATTTTGGTCTATTTGGTATTTATTAGTAGATTTGTATAGCTTGTAATTTCAGACTCAGATTTGTGTAGTAAGGACAGAAGGCCTACGGCCTATGTTATTCCTCCTCTAGTATGCTTCTGTGAGTGTCCAGTCTTCTTCTGAAAGAGTCATTTGAAGGTGCGGACACCACTGCTTCAGGCAGCAGGTTCCAAGTAATGGTGACTCGGTGTGAAAACCTGAATGCCACGGGTATTTTGTTCGTTCTTGGCTTTTCTACTCGCCTGCTATATCCTCTGAGGTGTCCCGATCAAGTGGGAAGAAAGAGAGGGAATAGGTTAGGTCCGAAATCATTTCTCAGTATTCTGCACATCAAAATTAGATCTCCCATTAGTCTGTGATAGGACAGAGAAAAGAGGTTCAGTTTTTCAAGCCGCTCTTTGTATGAAAAACACAGGAGTTCCGTAATTGCACGGGTAGCTGCCCTCTGTATTTTTTCCAGTATGTCTGATTCACCTTTTCAACTGTGGCTTGCAGCCTAAACGCAGTTCTCGAGCTTAGTTCTCACTAAGGATGTGTATACTGTGGTGAACATGGTAGTAGTGAGTACCCTTTTTAAAGCCCAGAGGGTTCTAAACCCCTTGGCTGCGACCTCCCGGCAATAGGCCGTCGTCTTAAGATCATTGCTCACTGTCACCACTAGGTCCTTATGAGACTGGACTACTGGTAATGACACATCCCCTATGTTGTACGTATTAACCTTTGAATCCCCCAAGTGAATGTAGACACACTTTTCGGCGTTGATAGGCATCAGCCACTCTTTAGACCAGTTTATCATATTATTTAAGTCTGCCTGAAGAGTAAATGCATCTTTGTCTCTAGTTATTGCTCACCAAATTTTTACATCGTCAGCGTATAATAACATTGGAGACTGTACTATGCTTGTAAGATCATTAACGTACATTATAAAAAGTAAAGGACCTAGGACGGAACCTTGGGGTACTCCACTAACTACTGTTCTCCAGATGGAGCACTTGGAATTTATTCTTACTTTTTGTCTACGACCTACTAGGAAATCCTTAATCCATTTTAAAAGAGGTCCGGAAATACCAAGGTTTTCCAACTTCAATAGCAGTCTATTAGTTGGCACCTTGTCAAAAGCCTTACTGAAATCTATGTAGACAACATCCACTGAGTTTCCGTTGTCTAGCGCATTAATCCAGAACTCTCTCGCTATAAGGAGGTTCGTTGTAGAGGGTAGATTCTTTCTAAAACCATGTTGTGCCATGTTCAGCAAGTTATTGGTTTCCATAAATCCCGTTATGTTCCGTTTGATTATTCTTTCCAGTATTTTAATTACAACACTGGTGAGACTTACGGGACTGTAATTCGATGGAACTTGTCGTGGACCTGTTTTATGTGTGGGAGTGACGATTGCGTCCTTCCAGTCCATAGGTAACACACCTTGGTCAAATGACATATTGAATATAACAGTCAGCTACTCCCTAATTTCTGTTTGGAAAGGATAGAGGCTTGGCGGCCCGTATTAGTCTTGCGAATGATGATCTCTCAGTTGATCCAACTTTTTTGAAAGAGTCGACGGATGGAGCCTCAACTACATGCTGAGGTAACGAATTCCAATCTTTGGTGATTCGATGAAAAAGCCGATATTCAGCTGACATTTAATTTGTTCTGGGTTTGTGAACTTTTCTGGAGCTTCCTTGTAAATTATCTGTTTTAGAAAACAATAAAAATGGGACATATCAGATACAAATTTATCACCAAGCAATTCGAATAACGTAATCAAGTCGCCTCTAGTTCTTCGATATGACAACGGGGAAAGGTTTAGCTAGGCTTAGTTGCGGTTCTCTGAACCTTTTCCAAAAACCCACTGTATAATTTTGGGCAGCCTCTAGTTTCTTGTATGTAGAACTCATGTTTACAACGCAGGAACACTGTATACAAAGTCAAAAAAATTTGCGTCGACATGTCGGAACTCCTCACGTATTGACCATGAAGTTATGAAACCTTTGCCGAATACTGCACGGCAGTGTGCAGTAGTCTTTAAGCCCTGGTTGACGATGACTTCCATGTCATTGTATGTCTGGACAACAGGTAGCTCGATGTTATTCATCATGCATGTTTCTGTACGTTGATGACCGATGTGCATCACAATGTGCTTTCAAGTATTTATCGGCAAATGCTAAGTTTAAAACCATTCAGATAATTTCTCCAGGTCATTTTGAAGTTCTAAGCTATCGTCTTCACCTTCTATTGTTCTCTATATATTTTCAGCATATAACAAAACCGCTGAAGATAAGAGACAAGGAAGGTCATTTACATATGAAAAGAATAACACCGGTCCCTATACTGCACCCTGATGTACTCCGCTTAGCGCAGTTTCCCAGCTAGACAACTTAAAGTTCACCCGTACTCTTTATTGGTGCCTTACTAGGAAGTCTTTTATCCACATCAATAGGTTGCCTTCAACCCCGACATTTCCAAGCTTATATAACAGCCGGTTGTGCGGAACGTTGTCCAAGGCTTTGCTGAAATCTATATAGGCTGCGTCTACAAGTAACTTTTAGTCCTTCAGAGTGGACAAGCTTTCATGATCCACTATTAAGTTAGTAAGACTAGGATAACCGATCTTTAAACCATGCTGCTTTTCCAAAGAATCTGATTTTCATCGAGATACTTAAACAGCTATTTCCGAATAATACTTTCTAAGATTTTAATAACCACGCTAGTTAGGCTAATGGGTAAGTAATCCTCAGGTTTATGTTTCGTACCTGTTTTGAAGACAGAACTTACTATGGCGTTCTTACAGTCTTTTGGTAAACGACCCTGGGATACGGATAGATTAAAACATATACGACATTAGCTAATGCCTTTGATAACCTAGAATGCAGTTCATCGGGCCCCATGGATTTGTCTATGTCCAGCTTATTTAGCAGACCAATGACATCGAGTTCTTTAATGGACACCCTGTCCAGTGTTTGTGTGGGGGGATTTGCATGGACTGACGGGAAGGGTGTTTCTATGGTGCACACATTGCTGAAGCAGTGTGACAATACTTGACATTTACCACAGTCATCCGCTACTAATGATGACGCACTACTGTCTCCACATAGTTCTAATTTATTTCCTCTCCTTTTTGTTCTACGGTTTATATACGAATAAAAGCGTTTAGGGTATTCTATGGATTCCTTGACAGCTTTTTTTCGTACAAACTTCTAGATTTACGGAGGGTCGAGGCACAAGTATTCCGAACTTCTTGATATTGAGATTTCTTCTTATCAGTATCCAGTAACCTAAAACGTCCCCATACTCTACTCCTCTTACGGAGAAAGGTACGAATCTCCCTACTGAACCATGGGTGAGAGTTTCTCGGCCCTCTATTGTAGTCCAAGGGATGTGGGGCACTGTAAATTTTAAATATAAATTTTGAAAGACATTCAAAGCTGTTTCATTCGCGGACTCTAGCATTATTGTCCAACCTACCGATGATGCTGAATGTATAATTTCTTCTATATTTGCCTTCCAGACGTTGGGCCAAGATTGGGCTGACGCGTGCTTGTTCCCGACAACTATGTGGAAGTCAAAGCTTAGAACTGCATGATCACTTTTACCTAGATGTAACATGTAATCGATCAACCAATCAGCAGCTCTTGTTCCTTGCATTTCAAGCGGCAAACGAACTTACACGTTCCATTCTCACGGGGTAAACTGTTAATAATAGCATATCGGATAGTATTCCTAATAAATAAAGCCACTCCACCTACTCGACGCTTCTGGATTTTATTGGCTCTTTCCGACGTAATGCCTTCAAAATCAAGTTCCATAAATCAATAGGCTGAGTCAGCCAAGTTTCTGTGACCGCGATTATATCTGACTTTGTGGAGTCAATCTGTACACCTAGTTCCGACCACTTACTGAGCAAGCTTCCGACATTAGGGTAACAGATCGGAAACTTATTTGAATGGCTTCCTGCTGCGCTCATAGAGGCTTTGGCTTCGTTCCCTATGGAAGCCTCAAAACCCGAAAATTTGTAATTTCTAGGTTTTTTTTGCCAGCATCTAACATACGTTGTAGATCTTTTCCACCTTCCCGTCTTTTTACACGGTCTTCCAGCGACAAGCCCTTACGGACAAAAACTCTTGAACCTTTGAATTTATGTCCATTCTGTTAAACCGGATTGAAGTTAAATAGTGACAAAATTATTCAATACTTCTCGTAATGATGAAATAAAGACCACGTTTTTTATCTTCGTTTACGACGCTTTACATGTAATCACATTTGTTTTTTAGATCCATTGTTCTTATGTATCATATTTAAAAAACAGATTGATTATTAGGCCGCACTAAACATCACACACTATCGCTGTCTTTCAAATAAACTCTATATTCTGCGTCTGCCTTCTGATTTGCTGATCACTGTTTGAAATTATAACAGTGTTATAACATCACTATAGGCCAATCTTCACTACGTTGTAGTATTATCACGAATTATTTTTGCGTAATACTGTTGGGAAGAATCATTAACATCAGTTTGCTTGTGCCAACATGTGCGAAGGGATCTTCGTTAATCAAGAGAAGAGTGATTGGTTGTTATGTTTGATGGAGTTTACAACTAACAATATCTTCACAACCACTGTCATCATTTTGTTATTTAATATTACATTTTCTTGTGAGAGTGATCTTGATTTGTATTGTTATTTCTCGGTGTATCATTGATACTTGTGAGTGCAGTTATATCTTTAAAGAGCTCTCTTATTGAAGTCCACTACAGCGTGAGAGTATTTGTTTAAGGGCTGCAAAATTTATGGATACCAGAAGAGAACAATTTGATCTTGCCTGTAAACTGGCATGCCTCATGTAACAAACTGTTATTTGAGAATAAATTATTACTATTATTATTATTAACAAGCAACATGGTATGAATTTGGTAAGTCGCAATGTCCAAATAGTAAAGTGACAATTTGAATAGCAACAGAAAAA